CTCTCAAAACCCCTTTATACGGCATTACCACTGCATCTTCTGACAGGACAGAATCAAGTAGAGTTCTGTCCTTCCTTCACGCATACCAGAAAGAGAATCAGGCTATAGTGTTGACAAACTAGCGTCGTTGACAAAGCAACATGACCAATTCAATAGCAACATTTACCAGAATCTGAGATTCTGCCACGGAAGCCCACTTTCAAGTCCGCTGTAATATGGCTCTCCAATCAGCAGATCAATCTGCTGATTAAAACATAGGGACACATAATCAAAATCAAACCCAGAAATTATTTTAAGGAATTGAATGACTAAACATAAGGACTAAACTAAGGGGGCATAACTTTTCAAGAGTTCAGCAACAAACCGTAACTTTTTAAGAATTTGAATATGATGTACATCACGTGAAAGTTTACCTTGCTTGGATACGCTTTGGCCAAATTTGCCTTCCCTTCTCTGAAATATTCGAAACGATCTTTTGAAAAGCCATTTGAATCAGCAATGACTTCAAAGTATCTGGCAGCATTCTCTTGCAACCCAGGTGACAATGATAAAACCCGTGATCTGTTGGATATATGTAGAGCCACAAGTGGTAAGAGAAGACTATCATCAATAACGAGACATTGTGGATACGATTTCCCCTGTAACTGAAAATAGGTGAAGAAACATTAAAGTGTGCACCGGAATGTTGGAGAAATATAATACGACAAGTATGAATAAATTTCTTTCGATGGATTAGAGTAGTGTTCCTTATTAGGATTAACAAGCCAAAATCTTACCACAACCTTATGCAATTTTCAGAGGAATATTTTGTAAATATAAGATAAGACATAGAATTTAGAACCTACAGCTTTTCTTGTGGCCTCAAACAAGGATTGCCTATATATACTGTCACCATATATTGCGACTCTTTCGGGTGATAATGTGAGGTGTAGATCTCCAGTACTCAAAGGAAAGTATGTCATTTCATGTGTCAAGCTTTGAGTCTTCTTCAGATTGTACAAGATGTTAGTACAAGTATGAGCAGCATGCAAATGAACTTTTTCTCCTTTGGATATGGACACACCTGCCCCTGGAGTAAACCAAACACACTGTTTCCAATGGTCACACCAGTCTCTAACACCTGTAGTATTAGCAAGAAAAGAAACCAAAATTGGTCAATTGACTCAGTGATCAACAACCTATTCGATCGCAATGGAGCTGAATGTACTGCAACTGGGGAAAAAGGGATTCCTCTAAACCGTATAACAGCGTGAGAATTGACATAAGTCACAGTAAGGTGTAACTCACCTATCTCAGAATTTGAATCTATCCACCGGGGAGCAGTAGAATAGAAGATTGTTCCTTCACTATCAAGCTGCAGCACCCACCTGAACCAAAAAAAGAACGATTCTTCATATCATACTGGTAAAACAGGTCAACTCTTGAGCCCTCTGCCTAGGCTTTTTAGGTGGAATGCATGATAATGCATCACCAAAAAAGAAAAGTGTATTTTTTCATTGTAGAGAATTACCAGTATGTTCAAACACCTAAAAACGAAAAGAAGAAAGCCAGTTAAGGATGCATTACCATGAAATAATAGCATGAACACTACCCGCGGTTATTGCTTCTATGTGCACATCAAGCTCTCCATTACTTTCTGGCCGTTTCCAAAAGTCAAATTCAAATATTTTGACGGGCTCTGACAACTGGATGAATATATGAATTGAGTGCATAAACTAAAGCCCATTGCAAAACTGTAGGGAATGGTTTAGGATAGTAGTACCAGTTTGATATCTTTCTCAATAGCATCAACATGCATGCTATACTGTTGTGACTTGATACCAAATAGACTCTCTAATCCAGGAGGAACCAGCCGAAAACCATCGTATGTTTTAGCCTCGTTATTTCGTAGATCGTGCATGTTACATAAGAATGTGCTTTCAACAAGCTTGAAAAGATTGTTAAGACAGAGCAAAGGGAAACAATGTGAAAATGAATTCAATCAAGCTCAAGATAAACAATGAAGACAAACCACAAATTCGATAACAAACCTGGCAGTAAGTAGTAGCTCGATATGGCACTGTTTTTGGATTGTCAACCAGCAACATGTCATGAGCGTGTTGTAAACTTGGGATTAGACCTTCACCAAGTAACTCAGAGTCCAATATTTCACTAACCTAATGAAGAAGAGACACACTTATGTTTATTTCCTCTAAACTTCAGTACAAAGTATGGATCTTTGTATACTCACAAGAACATCAGCTCGTGAAGCAATGTCTGATCCAACTTTGAGTTCATCGGATCGTTTGTTGATAAGGTTAATGTTCTTAGTCATCCCATTCTTATGCAAAACCTTCCTCATAAGCTTAACCATCGGTAAGTAGGACTCACACGCCGTCACCATTCCTTTTGAATCACCAGACTCTTCTTCTCTTCCTCTCATTGCTCTCACAGCCATCATCGATAGCAACCCAGTTCCAGCACTAGACACACACACAATTCACATTCACCATATCAAAATCTGAGTGTTTAAACCAAGAATTGAATCAAGTTATGGAAATGAGAATAAGAACCCAATGTCAAGGACGTGGCAAGGTTCAGTGATGGTTTTCTCGATAGCGAGACGATAAGCTCTGTTGCGGCGAGAATCATTAAGCATGTCGAGATACGACGTCGTGGCGAGGAGGCCGTCAGTGGAAGTTCCGGGTTGGTCATTGTCTTCGATGACAATCCACTCGGAATTGCCGGTGAGAGGGTCTTGTCTGAGCTGGAAGACGCGTTGACTAGACTGAGAGCTCATGGTTCGAGCAGCGACGGAGCTTCTTAGGCGAGTCACTGAGTGGCACCGGAAGGAGATAAAGGTTTTGGGAAGAAGAAGAGAAAACAGAGACGACATTAACGGAGGAGCTCTTTAAGGTTTTTTTTAGTCGTCGTTAGTCGTGAGAAGAGATTTTCCGGTGATTGTTTATGTTTATTGTTTATTTAGGCCCTCTTTATTTTCTTTTTATTGCAAATGAACCCCAGAGTTTTGAAAATTTAAGTACAAGTAAAACAATCCCAACTCTGTGATGCCAACAAGTGGCACAACGTAATTGGATAAATGATTTTATACTAAAAAATTAGGGCATAAAATAAATTATTCTTTTAACTAACTATTGTGATCTACTATTTTTAAAAATTTAATGTAATTTATTATGATTGTGCACCATAACTATCTTTAACGAAAATCAATTAATGCTCTTGAAATACAATATTTGTTGAAAATATATACATATATTACAGTAGAAAGACAAATAAAACATTTCTAAGAAGTTATACAGATATTAAAAACATAAATATAAAAAGTAAAATACAAAAATTGACCATACAATACATTTATATTGTAAGAGTAATCAAATAGTAAAATAAATATTACAAAAATTCAAGCAAAGACAAAATACCATATCCTAGAAGCCTTTCTATCAATTATACTTATATTAAAACAAAATTAATTTATAAAAAAAGATAAATGAAAAGAAGTTTTGGCCGTCAGTTGGAATTGGTTATCCGGCGGCGTAGCGCGAGTTTTGTATCTAGTAAATTTAAAAGACCATCATGGAAATGAATTATAATAACATTATATGAATTATATTTTAATCTAATATCTTGATTTGTTGAATATGTTAATTCAAATGGACAGATAAACTAAAAAGAACTTACAATTTGACCAGTTTTCTTGAAGAAAATAAATTTCACAACTACATAAAAAGTGAAAAACAAATTAAGTACATGTAAAGGATTTTTTGACAAGTGATAACTCTCTCTTAAAGGTGCGTGCAGAGCCGGTCCAAACGGCCGAGTTTCAAAGCTGCTAAAAACTTGCTGGTATGTAAAGAATCATTCCTCTACCCTTTACGATCTACACTTTAAACACATTTACTTGCAATTTTTTTCTTCTTTTCTTTTTGAAGTGGACATGCTAATTTCGTTTATCTTTGGTGAGACTTTGAAAATAATGATATTGAAGATAGCCAAGTTGTCAGTTTAGTTAAGCGCATAGAGGCTTGTCTTCGTTTAATAGACCCTTCTCTAAGCTTAAGACTATGGGTTTCCTTAGAAGGATACACCGAGGCATTCACTTACATGCCCCAAGTGTAAGGAGATAAACCCATTTGTTAGACCATTTCAGACTTCATCTTACATCACAAACCCTTATAAGTGTATGAAGGAGATTGCTGATTGCATGATTGTACAAGGTCTCATAGAACATGTATCTATGGATACTGGATCCAAGAATGTTGCGCTTCTTTCAGGTGATGGGGACTTTTCTTTACCGTTGAATTCTCTTAGAAGATATGGCTACAAAGTTTTTCTATTCCAGAAAGAAGATTCAAAGTAGGAGCTTAAAGTTAGTGCATCTTACACATGGGTGTTGCAGAATATCTTCTAAAATAATATTGATTATCCACGCACAATTTACCAGATCTCGGTAATTTAGTGAATTTTAGTTAGTTTTTAGGTTTTGTCTTCTGATATTTTATTATATGATTTTTAATAGTCGTTTTTCGTTAATCAAGGATCAAGTTTCTAATATATGTTATCATGTTTACATTATTTGTCTATTGTGGTTTGTTGTATGATTTACATGGTTCTCAAGTCTTCATTAACGACATGTTCTTAATCGGATAACATATGCTTTAACTTTCCTACCAAAAAAAAAAAAAACATTTGCTTTAACTTTCCTACCAAAAAAAAAACATATGCTTTAACTTTGTTATGGAAATGAGAAGAACCCGCTCACCAAAAAAAAAAGAAAGTTGTGTGATACCAAATAAACTCTCTAATCCAGGAGGAACTAGCCGGACACCATAGGCCCTCATTGTTTTATTTGTATTGCAAATTATACCCATACTTTTGAAAATTAAGACAAGTAAGACTGTACTAAATCGGAACTTCTAGGAATTAAGGGGTAAACTCAGGAATACAAAATATTTGTGGGGTTAAAAATGAAAAGATCCAAATTTTTAGTTTCGGAGAAAAAAAGAGTTCTTTGGCCGGAGAACAACTTTCCCATTTCCACAACTTCGAAATCGAAATCCATCCAAACGTAAGAATAATGGCGGGAGCGAATCAGGCGTGTATCTTCTGTGAGATCGTGCGAAATCCAACCACCACTCGTCTCCTTCACACCGTTACCTTCTTCTTCCCTTCTCTTGTTGTTTGGATCATCATCAGAGGCTAAAATTGAAGAAGTTCTCTTACGTCTGCGATTATCTTTTTTTCAGGATGAGAAAGTCATCGCCTTTCAAGATATCAAACCTGCCGCCCAGAGGTTCGTGTCTCTGTTCACTCACTTTGCTTCTATCGATTTTTGTGAATTGAGTTTGATTCCGTTTTACTTAAGCTTTGTCTACTGTAATCAATTTGCATCTCCTTGCTTAATTGGCTACCATTTACTAGTATTTATGAACAAAGCACTAATGATGTAGGCACTATTTGGTGATTCCAAAAGAACACATTCCTACTGTGAATGACCTTCAGAGAAGAGATGAAGACTATTCACTAGGTTGGTTAGCTAAACATATTTATGTTTCATTTTCTGTTATACCTATGTAAATTTTCGATAAGGATGTTCGTTTTATGACAGTAAGACACATGCTTAGTGTGGGACAAGAACTGTTGCGGAAAGATGCTCCTCAAAACATTCATAGGTGAGGTTTCTTGTTTACGAACACTAAAATGGAACCACTTATGAATTTGGAGTAAGTAAGGCTTTTGAAACCCTCTATCTATATGGGTTACTGTAAATGATGCTCCTTTTGGTAACTTATGTAGCATTAACCTGATCTTTACTTTCTTCTCACAGATTTGGTTTTCACCAGCCACCATTTAACAGTGTTGATCATCTCCATCTCCACTGTTTTGCTTTGCCTTATGTGCCCAGGTACACAGATATGCTTCATAGTCGTTGATCTTTCTTGGGAAATTCTTTGCATCTCTCTTGTGAGGCCATGATTTAAAACTGCGAATAAGCTTTCTTATCAAATATTGTGATTAAAACAGATGGAAAGCCATCAAGTACAAGTCTTTGGGACCTTTGGGTGGATTTATTGAAGCAGAGACACTGCTGGAGAAGATAAGGCCTCTTCTTTCAAAGGTTTAACTGAACCCAACTTACGTAACTGCAGTGCTTTGCTTCTCTTTGCTAAAACTGTGCAATATCTCTTTTCTATTCTTTTGCTGGCAAATCTGTTATCAAATGCCAAATATTATTGGGGATTTTGTATATCAAAGAAGGATGTGTCAAGTAATTTATATGTAAGTTCTGCCACAGTCTATTAGTTGTAGGCAGTGACGCCAATCTCATTGTTTCCATATTTTATGGGTATGAGACGTATACATGAAAGGATTCTGATATAATCTCTGGAGTAACTGACATAAGATGTAGACTTAATCAGATACTTAGACCCCTTAATTCCATATGGAATCTCTGATATATGTGGGCCTTCTTGTGTTGCTTTGATGATCTGACATCTCTAAATGTAGGAGAGGTACTGGTTACAGTGAATGAGATCATCATACTCCAGCTTAACTGGCGCAGATGTGTTCTTGCGGCATCGTAGTTATCTACATAACAGGTAACCACGTCTTGAATGAACTTGTACGTTAGTAGTGACCTTTCTGTGTTGTGATCTTGTGAGGTGGAAGTAGTATAGGTCATGCTAACAAAATTTAGGAGGTATTAAGCACTGTGATAGGGGAACAATAGAGAGCAAAAACCTCGCTTAAGTTTCAGACTATCACCTATACTCGGGCGGTTCAGTTTACTCGTTTTCCCTTGTAGGGGGATCCTTAGGTATCAATAGCGTGGATAAGAGTTTTGATCATTACTAAAAACCTGAGCTTATCTAAGTACTAGATGCCAGTGAGACCAAATCTTCTCTGTTCACACTTCACAAGCAACTTGTGCAGTTAGATAGAAGTACAGCTTGCAGTTGCACTGCCTTTAGCTTCTTTGAGTGATATTTTAGATGCGGGACTACAGTTTCTAAGATAGTTTTTTTCTGAGATCAAGTAAAATAATAAAGATTTGTTATGGTATAACATTCTGGGGACGTTTGATAGGAACCACTAAAGGAAGTCAAGAATATGTGCTAACAAAACAACAAAAGGTCTTAATGGTGTTATGTCCTAAATGAGTAGGAAACTGCAATAATTGAAATTCTTGATTTGCCATTGTCTTGAAGTATTTAGGCCCACAAATTTGTATAAGTTTTTTTTGGATGGATTTACTTGTAATCGTCAACCACCCCTGTCAAATACCAACTCTTTGTTTGGTTCTTGCTCTGTTTTTTAGTTCACAAATTATGTAAACGACATATATACTGATATACACATCAACAAAGCTTATTTTCCTGATATTATAATTGGGTTGGTCTTGTCCTTATACTTTGTTGTCTTTGAAGAAAGTTGCAGAGTGATCATGCGCTTCAAAAGCAGATAACTTTTTACAAAAGAATATGAATAGGTTTTGTTGATTGGCAATGATTATAGATGAAGAGGTTGGTAAGTTCGTCTTATCTGTTTGGTTACATACAACTCTAAGGTCTCTCAATAAGTTATTATTCCTCCCATGTCTCATTGTTTTGTTACAGTTGTGTGACTTGTGTAAACATTTGCTGATTCCAGTACTTTATAGGATCATATTAGCAGATTAACCACTTGAAGTGTATGCAGTTTATGGAAATAAGTAGTGTATGCAATTAATGGAAATAAGTGGTAATCTCATGTATCGACTAGCTTTTTGACTAAATCAAATCTCTAGTAACCTTTGTGTTTATGGAGACACAAGAAAGCTTATATAAAGCTAAAGCTGGCCCCTGTGAGGACAACAGCTCTGGTGAAGAAGACAGGCTTGAGCCTTTTCTTCTTGGAGTGACGAACCAAAGTATTGATTTTTTTTCCATAAAACTACAAAGCTGCAATAAACGTCACTCTCAAGTCTCAAACCTTAGGTTTGCTTTTGCTTCATTGGTTCCTTCTTCTCGTTTTTTGTTTTTTCGAGTACAGCTAATTTAATTTCCTACATAATTTTTCGAACTCGCCTCTCTGTTAACAGCTGTATCCAAAATTTAGATTTAAATATTTTAGTTTTCTAAAGAAAAGAATCCATGCTCTCTTTAATTAAGAGCTGACGAATCCTCCATAGTCCATATCCAATACCAACCATGGACACGGTTTCGTTTCGTTTTCAAAGTTTCCAATGCTTTTTTAGTAAAATAAGGCACGTATTTTTGATGTTCCAAATTTTCAATGCGCGAAACTTATCCTATAAATTACTTTGCGTATTTTAAAATAGAAGAAAAGAAAAAAGTATCGGCTTGTACTGGAGGAGGTTGGTGAATTTTATAAGACCCTTTGTCCTCTAGCGATTCTCTACCTAATCTAGCTTCAATACAACATAGCCACTGGCATTTTATATTAATGCTAGTAATTGTTATCTAATCTTTGTGTGATGATTGATTAGTTTAGATTATATGTTCATGAAAATCGGTGTTAAAATCAGGATAGGTATTGGAACAAGATATACGTTCTTGGGATAAACAATGCATCCCTTATTCCCTTTTTATCTTTTACAGAATCCATAAAACATTGATATCATAACGTGTAAAGTATATGTATGGAATGATAAAGTTTGGCTGCATGATAGATGATTAATCAAGCTGCGGTCGACAAATTGGCTTGGTGTTTGGTTCGGTTTGATTAGATGTTTGATTAATTGGTTAAATGCTTGGTTATTTGTTTAGACTTGATATTAAGAGAGCAATTTTTTTAAAAAAATGCAGTAGTAAAAAATTGTCAGGTGAGACAATACCGAAGGAGAATTTAAGTGTGTGTGTGTGTATGTGGAGAAGAGTGAGGTACACGTACCTTTCTCTCTCTTTCTACTCTTTAACCCTGTCCATGGCATGGCAATATCCCCACCTGGCTTGTCTATATGTGGCTTGGACTCTATATATTTTCTTTGCTTTTAACAAAATTATTATTTATGGTTTTTAGCTTCTCAAGGCTTTGATATCATCCGAGGGTATGGATTGGAGATAAATGTTATAGCCAATTAAAAAGGTTGACACTGAATTTTAACTGGTACCTTAATGAGAGTAAGAAAATAAAAGAAACGTAGGTCTAATAAATGTATAGTTGCATGCGAAACTCCCCCATCTCATCAATGAACAATCCAGTTGACTTCTTCCAATCATCAAGAGGAGCCAGACATTGCAAGTTTCAACATACCCACTGCGCTTTAGCAAATGTAAAATGGTTTTAGTTTCCTGTCTAAATCTAATTCTTTATTATGTAGTAGGATTTACTCTGCATGCCACTCTTTTTATCATACGACTTTGTTTCAGTGATGGTTTTCTCGATAGCGAGACGATAAGCTCTGTTACGGCGAGAATCATTGAGCATGTCGAGATACGACGTCGTCGCGAGGAGGCCGTCAGTGGAAGTTCCGGGTTGGTCATTGTCTTCGATGACAATCCACTCGGAATTGCCGGTGAGAGGGTCTTGTCTGAGCTGGAAGACGCGTTGACTAGACTGAGAGCTCATGGTTCGAGCAGCGACGGAGCTTCTTAGGCGAGTCACTGAGTGGCACCGGAAGGAGATAAAGGTTTTGGGAAGAAGAAGAGAAAACAGAGACGACATTAACGGAAGAGCTCTTTAAGGTTTTTTTTAGTCGTCGTTAGTCGTGAGAAGAGATTTTCCGGTGATTATTTATGTTTATTGTTTATTTAGGCCCTCTTTATTTTCTTTTTATTGCAAATGAACCCCAGAGTTTTGAAAATTTAAGTACAAGTAAAACAATCATAACTCTTTGTGATGCCAAATAGGCAAACACTATACCAAATCAGAGATAATAGAATTTCATATGCTTTTGTTCGACCCGGTCATAACCCGGTCACCGGGTCACTGGTCGACCGGGTTCGACCACGGGTCAATTGATTAAAATTTTATTTAATATATATAATATTTATAAATATTATATAGTTTTTATAAGTATAAAAATAAAAAATATTCATACTATATTACAAAATATGAAGTCTAACAATAATAATAAAGTGATTCAAATTAAATTTTAAATCCAACTTAAAAGTTTAAAACCATAACAAATATTAAAATAGTAGAAGATCGCGAATGACAGAAATAAACTAATAAAACATCGCGAATTCAAAACAACTAATATCGGTTATTTCTCTCACCATTCTATTTATTCTTTTTAGACGGCACTGTGAAGTTTCATTTAAATCTAAAACATCAAATGAGTCTAAAAACTAAAAAAAAATCTAAAAATGACTGAATAGAGTCTAAAACTCTATATTTTATTCCAAAATCAAATGATATTTTTAAAGCCCATACCCAACCGGTTCAACCGGTTTACTGGGTCACGGGTTAATGGTGGATTTTTGTGGGTTTTTTCGGTTTTGAAATTAGCGGATATTAGCATTAAACCCAAACCGAAAAAGTGTCCGGGTCGTGGATTAGGTCGGACCGGGCGGTTCAGGTCGGGCGTGAAAATACTGAATATTATATAATCACCATATCACAATTGTTGGTGTGTGATTTAGCACCACTCGGTTAACTGGACTCAAACAATAATTAAATCGAACCCTCGAAAACGATTTGTCAGGCTCATGTCCAACAAGGGATCTCTCGTTCTAACAAAAAGGCCCATCGATATGAAAACAAGAGATCGGCTTCGACCTAACAAAAAAAAAGGAAAGATTAACTCGAATATACGGGAAAGATCGGAGAATATTTAGCGGGAGAGAAAAAAGGAAGATCTCGGAGTAAAGATATGGAAAAAGGATACACCCTGTGACCAAGAAGGAGATGACTATATAAAGGAATGAGCCGTCATCAAGAAGGGGATCCACAATTGAACTCTCGAGAACCCTAGCACATAGCTGAGAAGGAAAAAACCTAAACTTGTGTCTAACGCAAGGATAGCCTTTTTGTATTTACATGCTTGTGTTCTTGAAATCAATAAAGAAAAACATTTTGCATCTTTGTTATATCATATTTAGTTCTCCGGTTTTTTAAGTGTTAAATTTGAACCGCACAATTTGGCGCCGTCTATTAGGAACGCTACATAAAAGTTCTCTCAGAATTTACCACTAAGCTAAGACCAATCGAGAAATACCAACAACTAAACTAATGTATATACCTTTGCATTAGCAGCATTGGTTCCCTCTTCTTTCTCCTCATCACTACCCCTTTCTCTTCCCTCAGCATCAATGTTTCTCTCTACTTCCTCATCAGCACTACCTCTTTCTCCTCTCTCATCATCTAGGTGTCTCTCTTCTTCATCAGCATCAATTGAATTACTCACTTCTGCCTCACCATCACCTTCTTTTGAATTAGTCACTTCTACCTCACCATCAACATCTTCTGAATTACGGACTTCTTCCTCTTCCTCTTTATTAGCGACTTCGGCATCAGAGGGGACTTCCATTTCTTCTAAAACTTCTGTTCCTTTTCGTCCTTCTACGGAATCCTCTGTTGGATCCAATTTGGCGGCATCGGAAGCTTATGTTGGAATTGTTACAGCCGCATCTGAAGAAGCTTCTGTCGGAACGATTACAGCAACATCATAACCATTTGAAGCTCCGGTCGAAGGATGAATTTCCCCCAGTTCTTCTGGTGTTAGATCCTTTGAGGCCCCTTAAGTTGAATCTTCCCCACAAAGGTCTCTAACTCGAGCCATTCCTGAGAACAACACCCCCAAAAATTTTATCATATTCGAATACGAATTCAAACAAACCAAAGTAGAAGATGCAGAGGTTCCGGAAGCGGAAAAGACGGAGTTCAGACCGTTTTCTCGGCGCCCAATTGAGTAATCAGACGGTGACAAAGACGGAGGAAGAAATGATTACCACCGGCGGTGAAGGAGAACGAGAGAATTCCGATGATGGCTCCGATAACTTTGAGACTTTTCACTTTTACAGTTTTCTCGTTTTTGATACTTAGAAAAATTAGGGTAAATTTTGTTTAGATTTCTATGGACCGGATCATTTTCGTTGGGTTTAGGTCGGATACTTAGGCTGGATCGTAGTTTAGCGATTAAAAGGAAGGATTTTTAGATTTTTCCTCGGTTTTCGATTTAAAAGAAATTGAATAATAAAAATCAAAACATAACGGTGGCATGACTGATTAACTTTTCTCGATTTGTTGCATAAGTGGCGAGCTCTCCTCTCCCTCTCTCATGTCCGAGTGAACGACGATGAGATCCCGCTCGAAGACACTGAGCTGAGAGACTGAGTATGAGAAAATCAAGAAGCACTCAAAAGCTCGTTATCTGAGAAAGATTCGGAGAAGATGAGTACTATGAAATTTTGTCGCGAATGGTAAAAAATCGAATCTGTTCATCTTCTTTTATACTAATCTTTTCAAATTGTCATCTCTTAGTTCACCTTGAATTCGGTACTGTACCCAGTTCGTTTAAGTTCATAAATTTCCGAAAAATTGTCGAAAGTTTTAGTTTTGGTGGCTTTGATTTTTGTTTCTTGGAGTATGCAGTTATAACATTCTATATCCGAAGGAAGACAAGGAGCAGTCGATTCTACTCTACGCATGCCGTAATTGTGATCACCAGGTAGAAAAATTGGTTGATATTTGCTTTCTTTCATAAAACAAAGCTAGGGTTCCATAGTGTTTAGTGATACAATTTGGTGTTGAATCGTCTTGAAACTAAGCTAGGGCTGAAACCAATAGACTTTAGTTGTTCTCACTTGTAGAGATTCTGTTGATATTTGTTTTAAGCTTTGATAAAAATGATGTTTTACTCTTTGTAATCTCTTATACGGTTAAGAGTCGAATGTCTAAACTTGAAATTAAACCAAGGAGTGAGAATTTAACGAGTTTAGATCCACAATCCAGCGCATTTTCCTTGTTTGTCAGACCATGAATCTGATTAGTTAAGATAGTGCTTATTGACCTTCTGAACAAATGCAAGACTTTTAGAAACTTCTAAAAGCATTTAGAAGGTTTATGCAACTTGGCTTCTAAAAACCATTTTAGTTTCAACAATATCTATTGGGTGCACAAGCTCTTCTTGCTATGCAACTTCTTAGTATTTCTGAGTTTTTTGTTTGCAGTGTATGTGTTCCTTTTGTTAACACAATCATAAAGCCTATTTTTAGCTGCTGAAGATCACGAGATCTCATATGAATCTTTGTATTGTATCTTCAGCTTGATACTGGATTTGCTATCCGAATTAGTTATCAACATATTGTTTGGCTTTGCAGGAAGCAGCGGATAACAACTGTGTTTACAGAAACGAGGTTCATCACTCTGTAAGTGAAAAAACTCAAATCATATCCAACCGTTGCTTCTGACCCAACTCTTCCACGTACCAAGACGGTGCTATGTACCAAGTGTCAACACGGCGAAGCTGTCTTCTTCCAGGTGAATCATTATCTGAAAGAAGTAAAGAACCATTTTTTTTTTCTTTCTCTGATCTAACTTAAAGATCAAAAGAATGTTTTTCTATTGCTTTATTTTTTATTTGGTTATGCTACTTCTTCACTTCATATGTATGGCGATTCAGTTTTATATTGCTCGTGTGCATTGTTGAAATTTGCAGGCGACAGCTAAAGGCGAAGAAGGAATGACTCTGTTTTTCGTTTGCTACAACCCGAACTGTAGTCACCGTTGGAGAGAATAGAACTATAGAAGATTACATATTTTCAAAGGTAACGTGTTATGGAGTTCCTCTTTAAGAGTTTAATGCAATTCAATTTGGAGTTTTGTGTGTACAGATATGAATACTGACACTGTGGGACTATCGTCGAGTTCTTGAATTTTCAGGGTCTTTTATGATCATTTTTGTCTTAATTGGGTCTACTTATAAACATTTTGATTTCTGTGGGTCGATCAGAAAGTTTTTCGTTATCCATGGGTTAGAAGTTGAATACGTGGAAACTTGAAACTTTAGTAGCTTCTATACATTTGCAAAGAATCAGATTCTATTGATAATTTTGGGTCCCATGTCCTTTCATGTAGTACATTTTTTTTGTCTCTCATGCATGAATCAGATTCCTTTAATAATCTTTGGCACACCTAGAATTATTACACTTTGGAGCTTTCTGAAACCTCATTCTATTGTGGAGGCTTTGATTCCTTTAAAAGCAACCAATGACCTCTCTGTCTCTCATTTGTGAAGCAATATATAGGATCTTCCCATCAACATGAACATGGAATCTCTAGATGAATTTGATTTCACTGAATGCTCGTTCATTAATGTTGAAAGTATTTCCTGATATTTTCACAAACATTAGGGTTCTAAAGCTTGTTCAGTTAGGGTGAGATTTTTAGGCGATTGAATGTTCTTCAAAACTGTTAGGAGTTATAAAACTGTAATATATCACATATATAGTCCTTGGGATCAAAATCAATAATACTTTGATGCTTAAATCGCAGCAGACACCTAGCTAGGAATTGTGAACAATAATTTAAAGTGATGCAACTTGCTTATTGAAGTCTTGTCATGTTCCACAATGCTTTGTAAGATATTTGGGTCCCAAGTCCTTTCATGTAGTACATTGGTTTTTGTCTTCTTGCATGCATGAATCGAATCAGATTCCTTCAATAATTGTTGGCATGTCTTAGTAGAAGTAGTACCAAAGGCTACCACTCCTCTATATAGACCGTTTATAAATAGATGTAGAGCAAAGCCCCTCCTTAGCAATTCATTTCTATCTTACTCCTTTGTTCGACGGGTCAGATTATTTTCCTCTCTTTTTATCCATTAAATTAAAACACTCATTTTAATTATTTTTTTAGTGTGACCGATCTAAAATACTTTCACTATTTCTTCTGTGAGAATAACGCAAGTACCAATGTTACGTATTATATACTTACAAGTTACAAGTTACAAGTCTCAATAGTCCAATGGCAGAGCCTACGCAGGAAATGTTAACTCTCTCTCAGTTTTTCATCAGTTTTGAGTCTCCATGGATGATGTTTTTTCATTTTTATTTTAAATGTTTTTTTCAAAGCCAAATATGCTTTAGGCCACATAAATTGTAGAATTGGTAATATGATTTTTCTTTTACAGTTCTCATGTTTTGATTTGTCAGGTACTTCATTCAAATAACGTAAGCAAGAATCTCTTATCATCAATGACCTCACAAGGACAATCCTCCAACACTGCATTTTCCAACTAATCCATACGGGTAAAAATAATTTCTTTCTATTTTCTCATTTTACATGATTTTGTTTAATATAAAAATATAGTAATTGTGACTTAATTTTGGAAATTTATGACAAAAGAGGAGGTTTTGCTCTTTTGGGATATCAATACGTGTCCCCCTGCGAATCGTACTACTATGCTCATTAATATAGTTGAAAATATTAATTTTGTTCTAGGGGAGATACATGCGAGATTTTCGAGCGCCCAACATACCGTGTCTCGGATACTACGAGAATCATATGTGGAGATGTCAAAAACCTCTTGAGTGATCAGAATAAATTACACTTGAAAAACATCATGGATTGATCAGTTATTGCAAGCAGATGAAAGTGATAGTTAACAAAAAAACTTGGCGCAGGATTTCCAGATTTAGGTTGATTATGTGGAACACAAATTAAATCCATACCTCTCATCTGCTTGCAATAACTGATCAAATCCAATATGTTCTTCAAGTGTAATTTATTCTAGTCACTCAAGAGGTTTTTGACATCTCCACATATGATTCTCGTAGTATCCGAGATACGGTATGTTGGGCGCTCGAAAAATCTCGCATATATCTCCCCTAGAACGAAATTAATGTTTTCAACTATATTAGTGAGCATAGTAGTACGATTCGCAGGGGGACACGTATTGATATCCCAAATAGCGCAACCTTCTCTTCTGTCATAAATTTCCAAAATTAAGTTACAATTACCATATTTTTATATTATACAAAATCATGTAAAATGAGGAAATAGAAAGAAATTAGTTTTACCCGTAAGTTGGAGGATGCAGTGTTGTAGGATTGTCTTTGTGAGGCCATTGATGATAAGAGATTTTTGTTTACGTTATTTAAATGAAGTGCCTGACAAATCAAAACATGAGAACTATAAAAAAAAAATTCACTATTATTAAGGCCGTTTCTTCAATTTATGTGGCCTAAGGCAAGGTCCTACAATTTATGTGCTGGATTACTTACTCCAAGGTCCTCATATTAACGCAAGGAATAATATCCGGTGATTTTCGATTCCAACACATTATGAAAAGATTACGTATTGGGACTGGAGGCTATATCACCTTTTCAGCCAAGCGCCTAGACTCTTTTCCGCTAATTTTGGAGCACTCAGTATATGCATGGGATTGGACAAACATGGAAGATGGACAAAGAGGTCTGCTCAAACACGATCTTGATTGCTAGGCTCCCCACCCCGGGCAAATATTATCTCCTATTTTATGTATTTCTTTCATGCGTTTATATATGTATTTTAATTTCATGTAATATTATGTATATTTTACTACATGTATTTTCATATTTGCTATTATGTGTTGAATAGGTGGAAGCTATTTTATAGAAACGATGATCAGAATTATAATGAGTTGGAACCAAACCATTCAAATTCAAATTCTGGAACCAAACCGTTCAAATTCTTTAACTTCTTAACATCCCACCCAGACTTCCTTTCCACCATCACCAATGATTGAATTTGCTCTGAAACGGAGGTTTACTCTCTATTCAAATTGAGTTTTAAGCAGAAAGAGATAAAAAGAGAATTGAGAGCACTAAATTCAAACAATTTTTCAGAAATCCAGAAAAGAGTGTGAGGCTAACAGTTTGCTAAAGCATGTGCAGGTACTTTGTTTACAACCATCAGTCTCAAACTTTCAACAGGAAAAACAATGTCAAGAGAAATTAGAGAAGTTGCAATCAATTGACGAAGCCTTTTTCAAGCAAAAATCAAGAATCAATTGGTTACTAACATGGGATCAAAACACCAGCTTCTTCCACAGAGTGACTCAAGCTAGAACAGCTTACAATGCAATACATACCCTGCTTGGCTTGGATGGAGTTGTAGCATCTACACCAGAGGACATTGGCCGACTTGCTTTATCTCACTTCGGTAGCATCTTGTGCCCTTACATCTCTCCTGCGAGTCTATCCAATCTCCAATCTGTGGCAACTATCATTTCTTATTCTTGCTCAGCCCATGAATGGCAATCCTTGTCAAGCATCCCATCTACATAGGAAATATGTAGAACGATGTTTAAACTGAATCCTAACAAGAGTCCTGGTCCAGATGGCTTAACCTCAGGGTTCTATAAGGCAGCTTGGGGTATAATACTAGGGATCGAAGTTGCTGGATCTATCCAAAAAAATTTCGCTTCTCCAGAGATGCCAACATCTATCAACTCGACCATCCTCACGCTAGTTCCAAAGTTCTCTGGTGCCACCTCGATTAACGATTATAGACCAATATCTTGTTGTAACACTATTTACAAGACTATTTCGAAACTTTTAGTTGCAAGGATCAAGCCTCTACTTCCTAAAAATATGAGACACACTTATGTTTATTTCCTCTAAAATTCAGTACAAAGTATGGATCTTTGTATACTCACAAGAACGTCAGCTCGTGAAGCAATGTCTGATCCAACTTTGAGTTCATCGGATCGTTTGTTGATAAGGTTAATGTTCTTAGTCATCCCATTCTTATGCAAAACCTTCCTCATAAGCTTAACCATCGGTAAGTAGGACTCACACGCCGTCACCATTCCTTTTGAATCACCAGACTCTTCTTCTTCTCCTCTCATTGCTCTCACAGCCATCATCGATAGCAACCCAGTTCCAGCACTAGACACACACAAATTCCACATTCTCCATATCAAAATCTGAGTGTTTAAACCAAGAATTGAATCAAGTTTATGGAAATGAGAATACGAACCCAATGTCAAGGACGTGGCAAGGTTCAGTGATGGTTTTCTCGATAGCGAGACGATAAGCTCTGTTGCGGCGAGAATCATTAAGCATGTCGAGATACGACGTCGTGGCGAGGAGGCCGTCAGTGGAAGTTCCGGGTTGGTCATTGTCTTCGATGACAATCCACTCGGAATTGCCGGTGAGAGGGTCTTGTCTGAGCTGGAAGACGCGTTGACTAGACTGAGAGCTCATGGTTCGAGCAGCGACGGAGCTTCTTAGGCGAGTCACTGAGTGGCACCGGAAGGAGATAAAGGTTTTGGGAAGAAGAAGAGAAAACAGAGACGACATTAACGGAAGAGCTCTTTAAGGTTTTTTTTAGTCGTCGTTAGTCGTGATAAGAGACTTTCCGGTGATTGTTTATGTTTATTGTTTATTTAGGCCCTCTTTATTTTCTTTTTATTGCAAATGAACCCCAGAGTTTTGAAAATTTAAGTACAAGTAAAACAATCCCAACTCTGTGATGCCAACAAGTGGCACAACGTAATTGGATAAATGATTTTATACTAAAAAATTAGGGCATAAAATAAATTATTCTTTTAACTAACTATTGTGATCTACTATTTTTAAAAATTTAATGTAATTTATTATGATTGTGCACCATAACTATCTTTAACGAAAATCAATTAATGCTCTTGAAATACAATATTTGTTGAAAATATATACATATATTACAGTAGAAAGACAAATAAAACATTTCTAAGAAGTTATACAGATATTAAAAACATAAATATAAAAAGTAAAATACAAAAATTGACCATACAATACATTTATATTGTAAGAGTAATCAAATAGTAAAATAAATATTACAAAAATTCAAGCAAAGACAAAATACCATATCCTAGAAGCCTTTCTATCAATTATACTTATATTAAAACAAAATTAATTTATAAAAAAAGATAAATGAAAAGAAGTTTTGGCCGTCAGTTGGAATTGGTTATCCGGCGGCATAGCGCGAGTTTTGTATCTAGTAAATTTTAAAGACCATCATGGAAATGAATTATAATAACATTATATGAATTATATTTTAATCTAATATCTTGATTTGTTGAATATGTTAATCCAAATGGACAGATAAACTAAAAAGAACTTACAATTTGACCAGTTTCTTGAAGAAAATAAATTTCACAACTACATAAAAAGTGAAAAACAAATTAAGTACATGTAAAAGATTTTTTGACAAGTGATAACTCTCTCTTAAAGGTGCGTGCAGAGCCGGTCCAAACGGCCGAGTTTCAAAGCTGCTAAAAACTTGCTGGTATGTAAAGAATCATTCCTCTACCCTCTACGATCTACACTTTAAACACATTACTTGCAATTTTTTTCTTCTTTTCTTTTTGAAGTGGACATGCTAATTTCGTTTATCTTTGGTGGGACTTTGAAAATAATGATATTGAAGATAGCCAAGTTGTTAGTTTAGTTAAGCGCATAGAGGCTTGTCTTCGTTTAATAGACCCTTCTCTAAGCTTAAGACTATGGGTTTCCTTAGAAGGATACACCGAGGCATTCACTTACATGCCCCAAGTGTAAGGAGATAAACCCATTTGTTAGACCATTTCAGACTTCATCTTACATCACAAAACCTTATAAGTGTATGAAGGAGATTGCTGATTGCATGATTGTACAAGGTCTCATAAAACATGTATCTATGGATACTGGATCCAAGAATGTTGCGCTTCTTTCGGGTGATGGGGACTTTTCTTTACCGTTGAATTCTCTTAGAAGACATGGCTACAAAGTTTTTCTATTCCAGAAAGAAGATTCAAAGTAGGAGCTTAAAGTTAGTGCATCTTACACATGGGTGTTGCAGAATATCTTCTAAAATAATATTGATTATCCACGCATAATTTACCGGATCTCGGTAATTTAGTGAATTTTAGTTAGTTTTTAGGTTTTGTCTTCTGATATTTTATTATATGATTTTTAATAGTCGTTTTTTGTTAATCAAGGATAAGTTTCTAATATATGTTATCAGGTTTACATTATTTGTCTATTGTGGTTTGTTGTATGATTTACATGGTTCTCAAGTCTTCATTAACGACATGTTCTTAATCGGATAACATATGCTTTAACTTTCCTACCAAAAAAAAAAACATTTGCTTTAACTTTCCTACCAAAAAAAAAACATATGCTTTAACTTTGTTATGGAAATGAGAAGAACCCGCTCACCAAAAAAAAAAAGAAAGTTGTGTGATACCAAATAAACTCTCTAATCCAGGAGGAACTAGCCGGACACCATAGGCCCTCATTGTTTTATTTGTATTGCAAATTATACCCATACTTTTGAAAATTAAGACAAGTAAGACTGTACTAAATCGGAACTTATAGGAATTAAGGGGTAAACTCAGGAATACAAAATATTTGTGGGGTTAAAAATGAAAAGATCCAAATTTTTAGTTTCGGAGAAAAAAAGAGTTCTTTGGCCGGAGAACAACTTTCCCATTTCCACAACTTCGAAATCGAAATCCATCCAAACGTAAGAATAATGGCGGGAGCGAATCAGGCGTGTATCTTCTGTGAGATCGTGCGAAATCCAACCACCACTCGTCTCCTTCACACCGTTACCTTCTTCTTCCCTTCTCTTGTTGTTTGGATCATCATCAGAGGCTAAAATTGAAGAAGTTCTCTTACGTCTGCGATTATCTTTTTTTCAGGATGAGAAAGTCATCGCCTTTCAAGATATCAAACCTGCCGCCCAGAGGTTCGTGTCTCTGTTCACTCACTTTGCTTCTATCGATTTTTGTGAATTGAGTTTGATTCCGTTTTACTTAAGCTTTGTCTACTGTAATCAATTTGCATCTCCTTGCTTAATTGGCTACCATTTACTAGTATTTATGAACAAAGCACTAATGATGTAGGCACTATTTGGTGATTCCAAAAGAACACATTCCTACTGTGAATGACCTTGAGATAAGAGATGAAGACTACTCACTTGGTTGGTTAGCTAAACATATTTATACATCGTTTTCTGTTATACCTATGTGAAGTTTCGATAAGGATGTTAGTTTTATGATTTGAACAGTAAGACACATGCTTAATGTGGGACAAGAACTGTTGCAGAAAGATGCTCCTCAAAACATTCATAGGTGAGGTTTCTTGCTTACAAACACTAAATGAAACCAATTATGAATAAACCTGATCTGTACTTTCTTACAGATTTGGTTTTCACCAGCCGCCATTTAACAGTGTTGATCATCTACATCTCCACTGTTTTGCATTGCCTTATGTGCCCAGGTACAGATATGCTTCATACTCGTTGATCTTTCTTGGGAAATTCTTTGCATCTCTCTTACTTTCCCATGATTTAAAACATTGAATAAGTTTTCTTAACATATACTGTATAACAGATGGAAAGCCATCAAGTACAAGTCTTTGGGACCTTTGGGTGGATTTATTGAAGCAGAGACACTGCTGGAGAAGATAAGGCCTCTTCTTTCAAAGGTGTAACTCTACCAACTTACGTAACCGCATTGCTTCTCTATGCTAAAACTGTGCAATATCTCTGTTCTATTCTTTTGCTGGCAAATCTGTTATCAAATGCCAAATATTATTGGGGATTTTGTATATGAAAGAAGGATGTGTCAAGTAATTTATAAGTTCTGCCACTGTCTGATAGTTGTAGGCAGTGACGCCAATCTCATTGTTCCATATATTATGGGTATAAGACGTATACATGAAGGATTCTGATGTAATCTCTGGAGTAACTGCCATAAGATGTAGACTTAATCAGAGACTTAATTCCATATAGGATCTCTGGTATATGTGGACTTTCTTGTGTTGCTTTGATGCTCTGACATCTCTAAATTGCAGTGAATGAGATCATCATCATCATACTCCAGCTTAACTGGCGCAAATTTGTTCTTGCGACATCATAGTTATCGACATAACAGGTAACCCCGTCTTAAATGAACTTGTACGTTAGTAGTGAACTTCCTGTGTTGTGATCTTGTGAGGTGGAAACAGGATAGGTCATGCTAACAAAATTTAGGAGGTATTAAGCACTGTGATAGGGGAACAATAGAGAGCAAAAACCTCGCTTAAGTTTCAGACTATCACCTATACTCGGGCGGTTCAGTTTACTCGTTTTCCCTTGTAGGGGGATCCTTAGGTATCAATAGCGTGGATAAGAGTTTTGATCATTACTAAAAACCTGAGCTTATCTAAGTACTAGATGCCAGTGAGACCAAATCTTCTCTGTTCACACTTCACAAGCAACTTGTGCAGTTAGATAGAAGTACAGCTTGCAGTTGCACTGCCTTTAGCTTCTTTGAGTGATATTTTAGATGCGGGACTACAGTTTCTAAGATAGTTTTTTTCTGAGATCAAGTAAAATAATAAAGATTTGTTATGGTATAACATTCTGGGGACGTTTGATAGGAACCATAATAGAGTAAACCATACTAAGTAGAATCCGGTTTACATCATACCAGTTCAATTACAGATTTAATGTATGGTTTAACTAAACCATACTCTATTAAACCACTAAAGGAAGTCAAGAATATGTGCTAACAAAACAACAAAAGGTCTTAATGGTGTTATGTCCTAAATGAGTAGGAAACTGCAATAATTGAAATTCTTGATTTGCCATTGTCTTGAAGTATTTAGGCCCACAAATTTGTATAAGTTTTTTTTGGATGGATTTACTTGTAATCGTCAACCACCCCTGTCAAATACCAACTCTTTGTTTGGTTCTTGCTCTGTTTTTTAGTTCACAAATTATGTAAACGACATATATACACATCAACAAAGCTTATTTTCCTGATATTATAATTGGGTTGGTCTTGTCCTTATACTTTGTTGTCTTTGAAGAAAGTTGCAGAGTGATCATGCGCTTCAAAAGCAGATAACTTTTTACAAAAGAATATGAATAGGTTTTGTTGATTGGCAATGATTATAGATGAAGAGGTTGGTAACTTCGTCTTCTTATCTGTTTGGTTATATACAACTCTTAGGTCTCTCAATAAGTTATTATTCCTCCCATGTCTCATTGTTTTGTTACAGTTGTGTGACTTGTGTAAACATTTGCTGATTCCAGTACTTTATAGGATCATATTAGCAGATTAACCACTTGAAGTGTATGCAGTTTATGGAAATAAGTAGTGTATGCAATTAATGGAAAGAAGTGGTAATCTCATGTATCGACTAGCTTTTTGACTAAATCAAATCTCTAGTAACCTTTGTGTTTATGGAGACACAAGAAAGCTTATATAAAGCTAAAGCTGGCCCCTGTGAGGACAACAGCTCTGGTGAAGAAGACAGGCTTGAGCCTTTTCTTCTTGGAGTGACGAACCAAAGTATTGATTTTTTTTCCATAAAACTACAAAGCTGCAATAAACGTCACTCTCAAGTCTCAAACCTTAGGTTTGCTTTTGCTTCATTGGTTCCTTCTTCTCGTTTTTTGTTTTTTCGAGTACAGCTAATTTAATTTCCTACATAATTTTTCGAACTCGCCTCTCTGTTAACAGCTGTATCCAAAATTTAGATTTAAATATTTTAGTTTTCTAAAGAAAAGAATCCATGCTCTCTTTAATTAAGAGCTGACGAATCCTCCATAGTCCATATCCAATACCAACCATGGACACGGTTTCGTTTCGTTTTCAAAGTTTCCAATGCTTTTTTAGTAAAATAAGGCACGTATTTTTGATGTTCCAAATTTTCAATGCGCGAAACTTATCCTATAAATTACTTTGCGTATTTTAAAATAGAAGAAAAGAAAAAAGTATCGGCTTGTACTGGAGGAGGTTGGTGAATTTTATAAGACCCTTTGTCCTCTAGCGATTCTCTACCTAATCTAGCTTCAATACAACATAGCCACTGGCATTTTATATTAATGCTAGTAATTGTTATCTAATCTTTGTGTGATGATTGATTAGTTTAGATTATATGTTCATGAAAATCGGTGTTAAAATCAGGATAGGTATTGGAACAAGATATACGTTCTTGGGATAAACAATGCATCCCTTAATCCCTTTTTATCTTTTACAGAATCCATAAAACATTGATATCATAACGTGTAAAGTATATGTATGGAATGATAAAAGTTTGGCTGCATACTAGATGATTAATCAAGCTGCGGTCGACAAATTGGCTTGGTGTTTGGTTCGGTTTGATTAGATGTTTGATTAATTGGTTAAATGCTTGGTTATTTGTTTAGACTTGATATTAAGAGAGCAATATTTTTTAAAAAATGCAGTAGTAAAAAATTGTCAGGTGAGACAATACCGAAGGAGAATTTAAGTGTGTATGTGTGTGTGGAGAAGAGTGAGGTACACGTACCTTTCTCTCTCTTTCTACTCTTTAACCCTGTCCATGGCATGGCAATATCCCCACCTGGCTTGTCTATGTGGCTTGGACTATATATTTTCTTTTGCTTTTAACAAAATTATTATTTATGGTTTTTAGCTTCTCAAGGCTTTGATATCATCCGAGGGTATGGATTGGAGATAAATGTTATAGCCAATTAAAAAGGTTGACACTGAATTTTAACTGGTACCTTAATGAGAGTAAGAAAATAAAACAAACTTAGGTCTAATAAATGTATGGTTGCATGCGAAACTCCCCCATCTCATCAATGAACAATCCAGTTGACTTCTTCCAATCATCAAGAGGAGCCAGACATTGCAAGTTTCAACATACCCACTGCGCTTTAGCAAATGTAAAATGGTTTTAGTTTCCTGTCTAAATCTAATTCTTTATTATGTAGGATTTACTCTGCATGCCACTCTTTTTATCATACGACTTTGTTTTCATTACAAAACTTATTATATAAATATCTTTGTTCAAAAGCATAAAATATAAATATCTAGTTCTGCTGAAATGACAGCCAAAAATAATGTAATTTTTAATGGAATGAAAATCGTCTTCATTAACCACATCTTTTTTATTTATTTATTATCATTGTATATTGTCTTTGCTCTGTCCTATAAAAACACTCGACCTCCTCTGTCTCAAAATTTCAAAACCATTCCTTGGACTCCACTGTTCTATCATCCGCCATGAAAACTTGTTTGATCTTCTTCCTCTACACAACAATTCTCAATTACTGTTTCTACTTCTCTGTTTCATCATCAATATCTCTTCTACTACCTCTCTCTCACTCTCTCTCAACCTCAAAACACTCTGCCTCTCCTCTCCACCTTCTCAAATCAGCCTCCTCCCGTTCCTCCGCCCGCTTCCGCCGCCACCACCACAAACACCAACAACAACTTTCACTCCCTATCTCCTCCGGCAGCGATTACCTCATCTCCCTCTCCGTTGGCTCCTCCTCCTCAGCCGTCTCCCTCTACTTAGACACCGGAAGCGACCTCGTCTGGTTCCCTTGCCGTCCTTTCACTTGCATCCTCTGTGAATCCAAACCACTCCCTCCTTCTCCTCCACCCACTCTCTCCTCCTCCGCCACCACCGTTTCCTGCTCCTCCCCTTCTTGCTCCGCCGCTCACTCTTCCCTTCCTTCCTCCGACCTCTGCGCTATCTCCAACTGTCCTCTTGATTACATCGAAACCGGAGATTGCAACACTTCTTCTTACCCTTGTCCTCCTTTCTACTACGCTTACGGTGACGGCTCTCTCGTCGCAAAACTCTTCTCCGACTCACTTTCTCTCCCTTCCGTCTCCGTCGCTAACTTCACCTTCGGCTGCGCTCACACCACTCTCGCTGAACCTATCGGTGTAGCTGGATTCGGCCGTGGACGTCTCTCTCTTCCCGCTCAGCTCTCTGTTCACTCTCCTCATCTCGGTAACAGTTTCTCTTATTGTCTCGTCTCTCACTCGTTTGACTCAGACCGAGTCCGCCGTCCGAGTCCACTCATACTCGGCCGTTTCGTCGATAAAAAAGAGAAACGTGTTGCAACCACCGATGATGATGATGATGGTGATGAGACGAAGAAGAAGAAGAATGAATTCGTCTTCACCGAGATGCTTGTAAACCCAAAGCATCCTTACTTCTACTCTGTTTCACTTCAAGGAATCTCAATCGGAAAACGGAATATTCCTGCTCCGGCGATGCTCAGAAGAATTGACAAAAACGGTGGCGGAGGAGTTGTTGTTGACTCAGGGACAACGTTCACGATGCTTCCGGCGAAATTTTACAATTCAGTGGTTGAAGAATTCGATAGTCGGGTCGGGCGGGTTCACGAACGGGCTGATCGGGTCGAACCGAGTTCGGGTATGAGTCCTTGTTACTATTTAAACCAGACGGTTAAAGTTCCAGCTCTGGTTTTGCATTTTGCCGGGAATGGATCCACTGTTACGCTCCCTAGGAGAAATTATTTTTATGAATTTATGGACGGTGGAGATGGTAAAGAAGAGAAGAGGAAAGTTGGATGTTTGATGTTGATGAACGGTGGAGATGAATCGGAGCTTCGAGGTGGGACTGGGGCTATTCTGGGGAATTACCAGCAACAAGGGTTTGAGGTGGTCTATGATCTGTTGAACAGAAGAGTTGGTTTCGCAAAGAGGAAATGCGCATCTTTATGGGATACGCTCAACCAGGGCTAACATGCGCTGAAGCCAATAAAACTTTGTAATAAGAAGCCTAACATGCGCTTCTCCGGTTCGATCGTTAAACCGGATGGGTTATGTCATGTATCGGGGATGGGTCTTATCGAACAGTAATTATCCTGTTGGGAAGTACGTAAAATAGATGTAGCCTTTTTTTCTTTTTTTTGTTAATAAGTAGATGTAGCCTTAATAATTTCGATGTATCCATACTCGAAAAGTACATAAAAGGGTTTGCAACGTTGTCAATAGAGAGTTTAGAACTTTCAAATCGATGCCATATAAATTTGTTTTTTTGTCATAATTAAATGGGGCTGTTATATTATTTGGTGGTTAAGCATCGCTTTTTAAAATTAATTTGGGAGCCAGTTTTAATAAATAGTAGTATTAAATTTTGACCAAATTAAATAAGATAGCATTATACGAAATAGCAATTAGAGGGGACGAACCAAAATTTCTAGTAATCATAAATCATGAGGCGACGAAGAAGTTGACAATTATTTGTTTCATAAGATATCACAGTTTTGACGATAGACATATAATATAGAAAAAATAACGAGTGCCCATCAATTATTTGGCATAGTATAGTATCACTGTTTTGACAATCACTTCTTTTTCCTTTCGAAATTGAGATATACTATTGATTAAAATGTCAGAGGTCAAAATAAAATTGTTTAGTTATCCAAGACGATAAATACAATCAGAAAAATAGTTACAGAACCAAATTTAAGCAAGCAAATGAGCTACTTTAGCAGAACTGACTTTGACAATAACTTATGAGTTACGATTCTCTCTCAAAATAATTGAGAGGTGAGTATATGTGGCAAAGGTTAAACTACCTCTAAAATTAAGTATATAGAAAAGTAAATATGTGCTTATGAGCGGATTTGTAACGTTGTGAATAGAGTTCTTTATATATATACTTCCTACTGTTTTTTATAGGTTTGTTTTTTTTGGTTTTTAGTTTTGTTTAACAAATATTGATATTTTATTTTAATTAATAATATACATAAATGGTAAACTTCAAAACACATTATTATATGGGAAATTGGCAAAACTAACCAACAAAAAAACTTTAATTCAATAACTAACCTCTAACCCTCCTATTCACTCTCTTTCTCTTCCTATCTCTCTCTACCTTCTTTCTAAAAAAACTAATTTTTCTTTTTTTTTGGTTATTCAACTAAATCACCTTTATTATATCACTGATTTCATTAAAATCTTTTTTTCTTTTACTTCAATTTGTTTCAAGAGAGATTGACTCAAAGTCTCGAGAAGAGGAAACAGCTAACACGTGTGCTTCCAGATTGTTCTGCATCTTTTCTTTAGGGTAAATTGTCTACACGTATAGACCACTAGCTAACCTTTAGCTAGACCTAAAAAGGAATATGTAAATTGTATCACAAATCCCAAATTAAAAACTTTTTATCCTCTAATGTATTGTTACAGTTTAATTCTAACTTTATCCAAAGTGCAAGGATTCTAAAGATGGCGAAAATTTTGTTTAGCTTAGTCGAGGTCGAATAAATTGTAGAATATCATAACTTTTTTATCGATAAATTTCTATATCCATAATTTCATTATTAGTTGACGCTTTAAATAGATTAAACAGCAAGAAAACGTAATTAATCAACTGTTTTTGGTATGTCAGTCGAGATTAATTATTAAATTATGTGTACTCAACTTTGATATTACTTAAACAATTTGCGGATTTTCTATTTAGTATTCCCTCTGTTTCAATATATAAGATGTTATAGGGATTTTTTTTTTTTCAAAATATAAGATGTTTTACAAATTTCTATGCAAATATTAAATGCATTTTATATTTTATGCTTATTTGTATTCTGCAGTCTTTTATATCATTGGTTGAATTTTTTAAAATTAAATACTCCCTCCGTTTCGTTTTAGTTATCGTTTAAGGTTTTTTCACACAAATTAAGAAAAACATTAAATTTTCTGTTTTACCTTTTATTAATATATTTTATAAAAAATTTCATTGGCCAAAACATTAAAACAATAGGGATAAAACTGGAATTTTCACCAAACATTTGCATTGAAAACCTAAATAACAACTATTATGAAACAAAATTTAAATCCTAAAACGACAACTAAACTGAAACAGAGGGAGTATTAAATGAAAGCTTTTAAAGAAAAAACAAATTTCTTAAAATGTGTGCTTTTAACTAAAACATCATATATTTTGAAACAGAAGGAGTACTACGTTCCTCCCCAACCATTTTTTTTTCCCTCTTATTAAAAAAAAACTCATACGGACAATTGAAAACGAAACGTATATGAAATGATTTTTTATTTATACCAAAAATAACTTAATTGTCGGCAAATAGGAATAAAACACGTGTCAGTATAGGGAGTGTTTGTCGTTTTTCAGCTGACACCGCCATACTCCCCCTCACTTCCTTCATTTTTGCTTTATAGCTTCTCTTCATAAAACCTCCAAAAACCCTAAAAGACCACAGAGAGAGAAAGAGAGAGATCTCAAAAAGCAAAAAAAAAAAAAACTAAAAAGCCTCCGAAATCTTCAGCCGCCGAATCATCATGCCTATCACGCACATCGCTCCGGCGCCTCACCCTCGCGGTACCGATCTTTAAACCCAGATTTTTACTTCACCATTTCTTTAAAAATCTTTGATTTTGTCGACTGATATATACATTTCTGTTTGTGTGTGTGTGTGTGTAGATGGGTATTACTCTACGAACAATCCGTACCAAGTGAACGGACCAAAAGGTTTTACTGAGTTCAAGTATCTGGAAGAGACCCATGATCTGTTCGTGAGGCTTGATTTCCCAGGAATCAAGAAAGAGAGTGTGATTATCCTTCTCGAACCATTGAAAAAAGCTGTTATTGTGACCGGAGACGCACCTAAAGAGAGCAAACACGATTCTTCTCACCGCAAGTATGGAACCGCCACGGGACTAATCTGTGACTGCTGTGAAATCAGTAACATTCAGTGTTTTGTTGGTGATGGTGTCGTTAGACTCATCCTCTCCAAGAAGAAGATCAATCTTCGCGTTCCTAATTTCTGTTCTTGTAAGATCATTAATCTTCAAATGTTTTTTTTCTTCTCTTTTTTTTTTTTGTCTTTTTTGGTAAAATCTAACATTTTTGTTTTTGTTTTTGTATTCTTTCAGTCGGAGGTGCAAGAATGCCTACTGATGCTCCTGGTAATGTCTCTATCTGTTTAATCTTCCATTATTTGTTCGTATTTGTCATTATTTGTTCTCGTTATCTATCGTTTGTTTGTTAATAGAATTATGTGTTTTATATGAAATTTGGCAGCTAACATCATTCGTGGCTATAACCCAGAAGGTATACGATTCTCAAGTTTTTTTCTACTATTATTTTCCGGTTAATAGATCAGAGATATGTCTTATCCTTTGAGCTTCTTTTAGAAACTAGCCTTCGTTGATTTATATAGTATAGTACCTGACATTTTTCATGGGTTTGTGTTGATTCCAATTGTTGCAGTCGCAGGTGGCCATCCTCTGGGTATGTATAACATCAACGTTTGACTATACCTTTTTACCATTTATTTTTTTCTTTGACTTGTTTTATTAAATAAAAATCCTCCTTTTTTTTTGTTCTTGAATCTTGCAGCTCATCTTCGTGGACTTAACCGAGAAGGTATATTTGATTTGATATTTTTATCATCTTGTTATTAATTAGTGTAAAGACAGACAAATTTCACAAAACTATGTGGTTGATCAACTTCATTAATTGTTTTATTGCTTCATCGAAGGTTGCCGTGGCACTGACCCTTTTGGTATGATTAATCTCTCCATTTGTGACGCAAAATTTCCTAATATATTCATTATAGTTACACTATACATAAACAAAAGAATTAAGAGAGGCTTGTTGATATATGTTTTGTGGTTTAACCTTGGACAGATCCAGCATTCACTGGTCCGACCATACTACCACACCCGTCAGTGTTGGAGGGATCCACCAGTGCTTACGAGACAAAGCAGCTCTCAAACGGAGGTCTGTATCTGCGTATTGACATGCCTGGTGTCCCTAGCGGCAGATTCATGGTGGCAGTGGACGGCGACGGTGTCGTCACCATCATGGGACGAGCTCCTGCGACCATGCACGATACGAGTGGGCGAGATTACGTAAGCCAGGTCGCCATTGTCCCTAGAGGCTATGACTGGCGTCGGATCAAAATAATCGCCAAGCATGGTGTCATCCGTCTCACTATGCCTCCCTACTAATTAATTCATCGCATCTTAAGATCATCATGCTTTTTGGAATTATCATGTTTAAAACAATGGACTATCTTTTTGTCATTTCTTTTGGATCAAGAACATTAATATGGACTTTAATATGTATGTAAGATGTTTATGAAAATATTCACTCGTATGTTTATGCCGGTTATAATTTTTTTTTTAATCTTCGTCTAATGCATGGTTAAAATATTGCTGGTAAAAGAAAACCTATGGACTGCGAGAAATTTTAATGTAGACTATCGTTTTGTCATTTCTTTTGGATTTCCGAATGTTTCAAGAACATTAATATGGACTTTAATATATATTATAGTGCTGTACAGTACTATAAAACATTGGTGTCAAGACTTTGTTTTGGGTGAGTGAGTGATATTGTCTTTAATTATGTGTACTAAACTTTCGTACTAATTAAACAATTTGCGGACCAGACCAATTTTTATTATTTTTTGTGTCTATCTTCTTATTAAAATCTCACCTTTGCAGTGTACGGGGACATTAATTGAATACGAAACAGATATAATTTCATTTTATTATTACCAAAAATTTAATAAAATGATGCATTTGAAATTGTCGGCAAATAGGAATAGAACACGTGTCAGTATAGGGAGTGTTTGTCGTTTTTCACCTGACACCGCCATTCTCTCCCTTCATTTGCTTTATGAGCTTGGCTTCAGCCCTAAAAAAAAACCTCCAAAAACCCTAAAGACCAGAGAGAGACAGATCTCAAAAAGCAAGAAACCCTAAAAATCCTCCGAAATCTTCAGCCGCCGAATCATCATGCCTATCACGCCCATGGCTCCAGCGCCTCACCTTCGCGGTATCGATCTTTAAACCCAGCAGATTATTATTACTTCACCATTTCTTTAAAAATCTTTGATTTTGTCGACTGCTACATACATTTATCTTTTTGTGTTTGTGTGTAGATGGGTATTACACTATGAACAATCCGTACCAAGCGAACGGACCAAAAGGGTTTACTGAGTTCAAGTATCTGGAAGAAACCCATGATCTGTTCGTGAGGCTTGATTTCCCAGGAGTCAAGAAAGAGAGTGTGATTTCCCTTCTCCAACCATCCAAAAAAGCTGTTACTGTGACCGGAGAAGCACCTAAAGAGAGCAAGAACGATGCTTCTCACCGCAAGTATGGAACCTCCATGGGACTACTCTGTGACTGCTGTGAAATCAGTAACATTCAGAGCTTTGTTGATGATGGTGTTGTTAGACTCATCCTCTCCAAGAAGAAGATCTATCTTCATGCTCCTACTTTCTGTTCTTGTAAGTTCTTTTTTTTTTTTGGTCTTTTTTTTTGTTCTGATATTTTAAACGATATTAATTCAAAAATAAATTCTGACAATTTTTGTGTTTGTATTGTTTCAGTTGGAGGTGCAAGAATGCCTACTGATGATGCTCCTGGTAATGTCTCTATCTGTTTAATCTTTAATTTGATTTTTTGTTCTTATTTGTCATTATCTATCGTTTGTTTATTAATGATGTGTTTTATATGACTTTTGGCAGCTAACATCATTCGTGGTTATAACCCACAAGGTATAAGATTTTTTATGTTTTTTTATGTCTTCTATTAGTTTCCGGTTAATAGAGCAGAGATATTTCTTATCATATGAGATTCTTTTAGAAATTAGTCTTCGTTGTTTTTATTTAGTAACGTGTATATATATATCTGACATTTTTCATGGGTTTGTGATTGATTCCAATTGTTGCAGTCGCAGATGGCAATCCTTATGGTATTTAACATCAACTTTTGACCAAACCTTTTTACCACTTCGTTTTTTTCCTTTGACTTGTTTTTTAAAATCCTCTTCTTTTTTGGTTAGTGAATCTTGGAGCTCATCTTCGTGGACTTATCCCAAAAGGTATATTTGATTTGATATTTTTATCATCTTAGACTACTTCATAAAACTTTGTGGTTGATTAACTAATTTACCTCATTAATTGTTTCATCGTAGGTCGCCGTGGCACTGACCCTGCTGGTATGAACTTAATCTCCCCATTAATTGTGACATAATTTTCCAATATATTAATTTCATTATAGTATGTTTATATCACATGCATGATGTGTTTCTATCGTGTATATATATATACTGAAACAAAAGACTTAAGACAGGCTTATTGATATATGTTGTTTTGTTGTTTAACGTTGGACAGATCCGGCGTTCACTGGTCCGGTCATACTACCACACCCGTCAGTGTTGGAGGGACCCATGATGCCTTACGAGGCAAAGCAGCTCTCAAAGGGTGGTCTGTATCTGCGTGTTGACATGCCTGGTGTCCCTAGCGACAGGTTCATGGTGGCAGTGGACGGCGACGGTGTCGTCACCATCATGGGACGAGCTCCTGCGACCATGCACGACACGAGTGGGCGTACTTACGTAGCCAAGGTCGCTAATGTCCCTAGAGGCTATGACGGGGGTCGGATCAAATTGGTCCCCAAGCATGGTGTCGTCCGTGTCACTATCCCTCCCAACTAATTATTAAACCGCATATTCGCATGGAATTAATTAGCATGTTTAAAACAATGGAGCATCTATCTGTTTGTCTTTTCTTTTGGATTTCCGAATGTTTCAAGAACTTTAATATGTGCCTAATTAAGACGTTTCACTCGTATGTTTATGCATGTTATGCTTAACTTTAATTTGTCACCGTCTAATGCATGTGGTTAATATTGCTGGTAAAAGAAAACTTATGGACTCATGAGAATTTTATGTTTGAGGAATTACAAAAAAAAAAAAAAAAAATCATTTCTTAAGAAATTACTTGCAACTTTCAGATAATTACTCCTAATTATTAGATACTCAGACAAATAAAATAGTACTTCATTAAATTACTTTACCATTGGAATTGGTTTTGGTAATTTTAGTTTTACGTTAGAAAAAAAAATTGCTACTTTCAACTTCACTAATTAGTACTGTAATTTATTTAAAGAGAGATTGACTCAAAGTCTAGAGTGGCGATACAGCTCAGCTAACACGTGTGCTTCTAGATTGCTCCAAATCTTTGCTTACAGTGAATTATCTACACGTAGACCTCAAAAGGAATATGTAATTGTATCACAAATCACAAATAACTTTTATCCTCTAATTTATTTTTACAATTTGCTTCTGACTTTATCCAAAGTTCAAGGATTCAAAATGATCGCAGAGATTTTGTTCATCTTAATCGAGGTCGACTAACTTTTTATCTAAAAAATTTCTATATGCAGTAACTCATTATTAAACGAATGCAAGATAACATAATTAGTCAACTTTTTTGTTATGTCAGTCGATATTAATTATTGGATTTTAATCATGTGTACTAAACAATTTGCGGATTATTTTTTGTAAATCCCAAACCGTTACAGACCAATTTTTTCTTCTCTTATTTCAAACTCACATTTACAGTGTACGGATAATTGAAAACGAAACGGTGCGTTTAAAATAAAAATGATGCGTTTGAAAATTGTCGCAAATAAGAATAGAACACGTGTCAGTGTAGAGAGTTTGTCGTATTTCACCTGACACCACCCATACTTTCTCTCCCTCACTCACTCTCTCTTCATTTGCTTTACAGCTTCGTTTCATAAATCCTCCAAGAACCCTAAAGAGAACCAGAGAGAGAGATCTTCAGCCGCCTAATCATGGTCGTCCCCGTCACTCTTGATCCTCCATCTCCAGGTAATAAACCTCTTTTGTTCCCATTAAATCGTTTCCTCTTTTGATAAAAGAAGTCATTTTTATCTTTGTTGTTGATTTGAGCAGAAGGGTTTTATGCAATCAACAATCCGTTTCTTGTAAATGGTCCAAAGGGATTCTTAGAGGCCATGACTTTGGAGGATGAAAGCTACATCCGCTTCGATCTTCCCGGAGTTCCACCAGACGGTGTCACCGTTTATCTTGACCCACCTAATAAAGCTGTCTGTATCTTAGCCGACGCTCCCAAGGAACACAAATATGACTCGTCGCACCGTAACTACGACGGTACGAGGTTGAGACCGAAGCTGAATTATCGAGGTATCAACACCAAAATCCCTTGCACTTGCTGTGAATTCTTCTCCGGCTTCACTTCTCACATGGCCGATGGAGTTCTCCGTCTCATTCTCACCAAGCACCACACCTCTACACCACGCCCTCCTTGCATCTGTATATTTCTCTATCAAACCTTATTATCATTTTTAACCCTTTTATCATTATTAATTAATAGGAGAATTATCTGATGAACAATTCATTATTTTGTTTCTACAGCTTTTCTTGGTGGCCCAGACGGAGAAGGTGATTATATTATAATTACATCTGTTTTTGAAATATAGTTTACTTAATTACAATGTTTGCACTGTGATTTTCTGGTTATAGATACCTATGGCACGGCTCAATCTCATCACGATTTTCCCCATGGCACGAATCCTAATGGTATTCACATCATTCCCTATATAGACTTACGTACATTGTATATAGGAGAGTGTTTGATTGGTCTAAATATATAGGAATATTAATTTGTTGTTGTTGTTTGTGATATATGTTGGGGAGCAGACCCCAACTTGACGGGTCCGATATTGATTCCACACATGTGTGGCCCAAGGATCGCAGATGCCTTATGAGTCTAAGAGGCTCCAAAACGGCGGTCTTTACGTCCGTGTAGACATGCCGGGTGTTCCCATTGACAACTTCACTGTCTCTGTCACGAATGGGAGGGTGAAGGTGACTGGTGAAGCTCCTGCTCTTAGCCATGACTCAGCTGGCCGTTCCTACTCTGGTGTCGTCGCTATCCTCTCCACTCCTGTTGACCTTCCTGTCCGTAAGATCAAGACCATTGCCAAGAACGGTGTGATTCGTTTGGTCATCCCTCCCCTTTGATGTGATTTAGTTATGAAACTTTGTGTTTGGTTCTATGAAGTCTGTTTTTCTAGAGTGGACCCTTTTTTTGGGGATAGTGTCGTTGTCTTAAGGATTATTATGTCGTTTTATGTTTTAGTACTTTGGATATGTCTCAACGACAAAACATATTTTGATATGTTTCCTAATGCACTGCCCTTTATGAGTCTGATGATCTAAATTGTTTACCAGTTGCAAAGGTCACTTGCAAAGGATTTTAACATAACTTTTGTCAACCAATACAATAAAATGTTCAACTTTGAGTATCATTCAAATATAACTTTTGCAAAGGATTTTAGACAATGTGAAACAACCTTTGAATCTCTGCATCGAGTCTTCTTTCCTCTTCTTTGGCATCCTTGTGATCTAAAAAGTTCGAGCATAAGTTATGTCCCCTTGAACCTGGATAACACCTTCAACTGGAGCTATAGGCTATAGGCTGCAAATATATGGCCACTATAGGCTGCAAATATCCAGGCTTGAACCTGGATAACACCTTCAACTGGAGCTATAGGCTGCAAATATATGGCCACTATAAGAGGAAGATCTCCTTCTCTGCATAGCGTTTCAGCAGCAAAAAATGAGTTCAACAAGTGAATTACTGAACTAGCACAATTAAACAAGTAAAGAGAAACAGAGTGTGATAAATTAAGCAATATGAAACTTTCTTTGCAGGAAGATATAATTGACGACTCAAGACCTACAAATATAAGTGCACTGATAAGAGTCAAAACGTGTTCTCTTAATTCTTATCCACTAAGAATCGAGGAACAAGCAAAAAGGCTTAGAAATGAATTTTCTAGAGCTCTCCCAAGTTAAGTCAAAAAGGGTGTCTCAGAGGCATTATATCTAACATATTATGGGCAGACAATTCGATAGTCGATACAACAAGCAAAGGATATAAAGAGAACCCGCCAAAATACAGTAGCTAGCTTTAATTCACTACAAAAAAATCAACTAGTTACTAACTTACTAACTAGACTAAATCCAATAAAGAAGAGACATGATGTATTGATGGGTAATGAAGAGTTATTTACTATTATTGGGAGGTTTTGTTTTCCTTCGGTTAACCGTTTGGTTCAGCCAAACCAAACAGAAATAATTGAGAACCGATTGCAACTATAGTGTGCTATACCTGCCATTCCTAATGTCTCTTTTTATCTGTTTAATCTTTTTTTTTTTTTTTGGTGAGTTTTAATCTTTTGATTATTTCTTTTTTTTTTTTTTTCATAACTTTATTAATATGAACCAAAGATTGTAATGTTAAACATAAGGATATAGATACAATCAAATATTTCTGTAACGAAAAAGCAAAGAAGTTTAGGCGCCGCAATCCGAAAAATATGCTTAGTTGCTCTCGTCTTATCCGTCAATCTTGTGTGACTTTCTAGCTTGGGAAACATCTGTTTTTTGTCGATGTACCATCTTTTACGCTTTCGAAAGGCAAAGTCTGCGATCCATCCGTTACATCGCAAGACCATAGATTTTGGAACTCTCCTGAAAAAAGAGATATGATTTTTTGTGATTGTACCGTAAACCCATATGTGTTGTTGATTTGATCTTCTGGTTCTCATCCTATTCACATCATCCACCAACACCAAAACCGAGAAGAAGAAAGCACCGACCGCGCTGTTTGCCACTGCTCCTGACTTGTGTTGATCGACACACACCTCTTGTGTCGATCGACACACTGTATTGGTATGATCTGACCGTGATTTCACTGTATCATCTCCAATCTCTAAACTTGACAATCCCGGATCCCAGATCTGGGTTTCAGAAATCTGTCTCAAGTTGGAGACGTCAATTTTTGAATCAATCACACAACCATGGTGTAATCGATTTTCAAAACTGATGCTATGATAATCGCTTGAAAAGAAACGCAGCGATAACATAGTAAGTGCATCACATCGAATCATGGACTTCGGTGTGGGGATAACTGCCAGAGAGTAGTAGAGATGTCCCATGGAAACCACGTCGCCGGCGTAGAGAATAGAAACCATCACCATAAGAGTGAGGACGAATTCAGATCGATGAATCATGATCGGTTTTATTGCTAAACGATGTAACAAACAAGAAAACTAGAAACAGAAGAAAAGAATACAAGGCCGACCGACGTCGGAGAAGCCAGCGTCGGCCGGAATCGAAGATCGGAGGAAAAAGTTGGTTGAAGAAAATCGCCTGGGTGTCGCACTGTTTGAGAGAGAAAGATCTTTTGATTATTTCTTCTTATTTTTATGCCTAGTATATCGTTTGTTTATTAATGGAGTTAGAGCATGATTAACAATGTTATTTTAAAAATGGTTCTTAGAAGTATTAAAGTAATAATATGACATGTGGTTGGTTCTTAAGGTTAGTTTTGGGTCTTACCTAAACCACTTTTCTTAGTTTCAGTCTTAGCTAAGCCACATTTCTTACTTAAGAACTCTTTAAGATACCTTTGTTAATGGTGGTCTTATATGTTTTATATGACTTTTGGCAGCTAACATCATTCGTGGTTATAACCCACAAGGTCTATGTCTTCTATTATTTTCCGGTCAATAGATCAGAGATGATATGTCTTATCGATAGAGTATATAGTATCTGACAATTTTCATGGGTTTGTTGTGTTGATTCCAATTGTTGCAGTCGCAGGTGCCCATCCTCTTGGTATGTATAACATCAACGTTTGACCATACGTTTTTACCATTTTTCTTTTATCTTTGACTTGTTTTTTTTTTCTTATATATAAATCATCTTCTTTTTTTTCTTGTGTTCATGAATTTGATATTTTTAATTAGCCAAATAAAGAAAACTTCATATAACTATGCATGGTTGATTAACTAATTAACTTCATTAATTATTTTACTGTCCAGGTTCGCCGTGGCACTGACCCTCTTGGTATGAACTAATCTTTCCATTGTCACATATATAATTTCCATATATTATTTATTTCACATTGTGACATAAGCTCCTGCGACCATGCACGACTCAAGTGGGCGTAATTACGTAGGAAAGGTCGCCATTGTTCCTAGAGGCTTTGACAGCCGTCGGATCAAAAATTCAAAATCATCGCCATTGGGATCGTCCGTCTCATTACTAATTAATTCATCGCATCTTAATTATTAGATCATGCTTTTGGAATTAATTACTATTATATACGTAACACGTTTTAATTATGCCTGTAATATGCAAATATTCACTCGTATATATGTTTTAATTATGCCTGTTATAGTAAATTTTATCTCCGTCTAATGCATGGTTACAAATAAGAGACTTGCAACTTTCAGATTACTCCTAATTAATTATTAGTTAGAGACTCATACAATAATAATACTTATTTTTTTTTGTTTAAAAAAAATTACTTCATTAAATATTTACTTTACCATTCGAATTGGTTTTGGTAACAGTATAATTTTAGATAAAAAACACAAAATTCACAAATGTGACACGTGGCCCCTTAGTGTTTTGTCCTGTCTTCACCAGACAATCCTTCCCTCCCATAAAGCCACCAAAACCCTAAACGCCAGAAGAACCCACAGAGAGATCTCAAACTAAAGTAGCTTAGCCTAGAAATCTCGGAGAAAAGCTTCTCTCAGCCGTTGAATCATGGTCAACCCTGTTACTCTAGCTCCTCAATCTCCCGGTAACTAGCTAAATCTCACTTTCAAAGTAATTACCATTTTGCTCTTCTTTAATTTTTACCCATCAAAATCCTTTCCTTTTTTTATATTTTTGATAAAAAAATCTCATCGTTTTTGCTTTTGTTTGCTGGTGTGGATGAATGATTATGGATGCAGAGGGATTTTACGCCATCAACAACCCATTTCTAGTAAATGGTCCAAAAGGATACATCGAGTTCAAGACATTGGAGAATGAAGACATGTACATACGGTTCGATGTTCCCGGAGTTCCAAACAACGGCGTCAATGTCATTCTCGACCAGTCAAACAAAGCCGTGTGTATCTTGGGCGACGCACCCAAGGAACACAAGTACGACGCCTCTGTTCGGAGCTACAACGGCACCACCCTAAGAAAAAAGCTTAGTATCGGCGGTATAAACTCAAAAATCGTCTGCAAATGCTGTGACTTTTACTCCGGCTTCACCTCCCACGTGGCCGATGGAGTTCTCCGACTTGTTCTCACCAAGATCCACACCAATACTCCACGTCCTCCTTGCCTCTGTATATTATAATCAAAACCCTTGACTTTTTATTGTTATTAATTCGATTTATTTATAGATTCGTATGATAATTATCTGATAATAGATACATTTGTTTTCTTCAGCGTTTCTTGGTGGCCCTGACGGAGAAGGTAATTTTATTAAAGAATTGAAATTTGTTATTTACATAGTTTACATAGATTAATGTTTGCACTCTGTTTTTTCTTTTCTTTTCCGGTCATAGATCCCTATGGCGCGGATCCTCACGATACGGATCCTCACGGTTTTCCCCCATCATCGGATCCTAATGGTATTCACGTATTTCCCACTCTCCAAGCTTATGTTATACACAACAAAATTAAATTTATTAGTATTATTTATATATATAGACTTATATTGTGTATAGGAGAAGAGTGTTTAGTTGGTCTAATTAGGAATATTAATTTCTTGTTGTTTGTGATATATGTGGAGCAGACCCTAACTTGACGGGTCCGATACTGATGCCACACCCATGTGTGGGCCAAGGATCGCAGAGGGCTTATGAGTCTAAGGTGCTTCAAAACGGTGGTCTATACGTCCGTGTAGACATGCCCGGGGTTCCCAAAGAGAACCTCACCGTCTCAGTCATGAATGGGAGAGTGAAGGTGACTGGTGAAGCTCCTGCTCATGGCCACGACTCAGCTGGCCGTTTCTACTCTGGTGACGTGGCTGTGCTCTCTACTCCTGTCGACCTTCCGGTTCGTAAGATCAAGACCATTGCCAAGAATGGTGTGATTCGTTTGGTCATCCCTCCCGTTTGATGTGATTTCGTGATGAAACTTTGTGTTTGGGTCTATTAAGTCTGTTTTTCTAGAGTGGACCCTTTTATTTGGGTTAATGTCATTGTTTTAAGGACTATGTCGTTTTATGTTTTAGTACTTTGGTTGGATATATCTCAACGACAAAGCATATTTTGATGTGTTTCAACGACACACGTTATTTTGTCTAAAGCTCTGGCCTTTATGAGTCTCTAAATTGTTTATCAGTTTGAAAGGTCACTATTGAATTGCAAAGAAGCTTAACAAAACTATTGTCAACCAATACAATGAAATGTGCAACTATGATTATCAAATATAGACTATCGAAGGATTAATTCTTTATAAACATATATCCACATATAACAAAAGGGCTTTTCGAAAATGTGAAACAGCCTTTAAATCTCTCTGCATTGACTCTTCTTTCCTCTTTTTTGTCATCCTGTGGTTTGATGCAAATGCAATTTGTGTTAAAGTCTACCACACTTGCTTACAGACATAGAGAAACAAGCAATACAAGACTAGCCGTGTAACCTATTGGGCATTGAAACCTTCCAGGCCTGCAGGAACTTCTGCATCAAGTCTTCGTTGTCATCTTTGTGATTTAATCTATCACCAAATTCACTTCACATCCTTTCCACTTTTTCTATCTGTTGAAACATCTATACACACATATTCGATTATCTATTCTTCTTCTGATGACAATACGTTTACTGTGCCTGTTCCAGTTGGAACCAATGGGATTATTAGCTACCAAAAACAGTTCTCCGACCCAATGTTGACACAAGTACATTACACCCAGAGAGTTCCAACTTTCAGGGTCTACAAATGCTACCATCAAACTAACAAACAACCATGGTTCACTATACTTAATATGCTAAAGGCTAGGACCTGATAAATATCTGTCACACTCAAAACCACCTACCATGATTCTATCAACACAAATGACGAACAAGTACCAAGTAACGTTAAGCAATAAACTAACACTAGGGATATGAATCAAGCAACAGTTACATACTATCAAACAAAATGCAAATTGAGTATAATTTCATAATGAAGTGTGAAACCAGAGCCACCAATATAATCCCAAAACTCACCTCCGGTAAAAACCACAGTCTCTCTGGCTCTCTGTCTTTCCTTCTCAACCCTCTTCCTCTTCAACCTTTCTTCCCTCAACTCCTCTAAGCTCTTCTTCGCACCCATCTTCTTCTTCTTAGCTTCATCACCTCTATATCCATCGCTTCTGTGGATGGGACAAGATCCTCAAAATCGAATTGGAATAAAAATTAGAGAAAATCCGCGTAAATTAGTTTTGATGATATCTAACTATGAGGCCCATTAACGTGCTTTTTTGACAATTATAGGCCCAATAAATCTGCTTGAGAGTGATGCAACATCAAACAGTCGTAAGATGACGTTGTATAATAGGCTAGTGGTATGAACGTAATCTCTCCATTGTGACATAATTTCCAATTTCCAAATATATTAATTTCATTCAACTTATAGTCGTATTTAAATATATGCGTGAACGTATTACTCGTATATATATCAATGACACTATGCTAGAACAAAAGACTTATTGTTTTGTTGTGTTACATTGGACAATACTATACCACTACCACACCCGTCAGTGTTGGAAGGATTCACGAACTCTTACGAGTCAAAGCAGCTCCCAAACGCTGGTCTGTTTCTGCGTTTAAAGGGTTTTGCCAGCTTATCATCCTTCCGTACTAATTAATTCATCGCATCTTCATGCTTATGGAATTAATTACCATGCTTAAAAGTTAAATCCATGGACCATCTGGTTTTGTCTTTTCTTTTTGATTTCCTAATATTTCAAGAATACTAATATGGACTTTAATATTGTTGGTTAAACAAAACTAATTAGACTGAGAATTTGATCTTTCAGGAATTAATTATACGGCTTACACAAAGAAAAAAATTTACAAATTTCTGAAGAAACTTGCTACTTTCAACTTCACTAATTAGTAATTATGTCTTCTCAGACACAAATCTCACGTCATAGTTAATAGACAGTAATTATCCCCTATTTTTGCTAATAAAGCAACGTAGACAGTTGTTTCACAAAAAGAGGGAAACGCGTGTCAAACTACTACTGGTGCAAATCACAAATGTAAAAAGACACGAGTACCCCTAGTGTAATGTCGTGTCTTCACCTGACTACTCCGTCCTGTTGCCTTCCCTCCCATAAAGATCTCAAAAACCCTAAATGCCAAAACCCCAGAGAGAGTACTAATCCCAAAGTAGCAGCTAGCCAGAAATCTCACACAAAAAAAAAAAACATCACTCTCTCAGTTGAATCATGGTCGTCCCTCTCAGAGCTATTCCTTCATCTCGCGGTACTAACATCTTTCTAAACCAAATCTCAAATCTCACTTACATTAATTTGCTCTTTTACCCAACAAATTAAAGTTTCCTCATTTTTTTAGCTAAAAAACTCATCTTTTTTTTTGGTTCTTGTTATTGATGGAGCAGAGGGGTTTTATGCAATAAACAACCAGTTTTTAGCAACTGGACCAAAAGGGTTCATGGAGTTCAAGATGCTGGAGAACGAAGATATGTTCGTGAGGATTGATTTTCCCGGCGTTCCAAAAGATGGTGTGAGGGTTTTTCTTGACCAGTCCAAGAAAGCTGTTTGTATCTTCGCCGAAGCACCAAAGGAACACAAATACGACTACTCTGAACGGAACTACGGTACCAGCACCGGACTTGTCTGCAAATGCTGTGAAGTCTCCGGCTTCACTTCTCTCATGTGCGATGGTGTTCTTAGGCTTATTCTCACCAAGTCCAACATCACTCCACAACGCTCCTCCTGCATCTGTAAATTACTTTTCTTTTAATTTATTAATCCCTCATTTAAATATGGAAACTTTTTTGGTAATAAAAACTTTTGATTTTGTGTTGTTTTTCTACAGCGTTTCTTGCTGGCCCAGATTTCAGAGAAGGTATGTTATTCGATCTGTCATTTTTCTTTGGGTATATAAAAAGTCTTCATTTTTCCTTCACTAACGTTTGAAAAATGTTGTCTTTTCTATTTGTGGTCATAGATCTCCGTGGCGATGGTCCTCACAAATTTCCCCATGGCACGGATCCTAATGGTATTCACATATTTCCTCCTCTACAAGCTTATGTTATACATATCAAGAATGTTAGTGAACTTGGTTGGTCTAAATAGGAATGTTTGTTGTTGTTGTTGTGGTATATGTGGAGCAGACCCGAAGTTAACTGGTCGGATATTGATGCCACACCCATGTGTGAACTACGGATCGGAGATGGCTTATGAGTCCAAGCAGCTTCAAAACGGTGGTCTATACGTGCGTGTAGACATGCCAGGCGTTCCTAAAGAGAACTTCACTGTCGCAGTCATGAATAGGAGAGTGAAGGTGGCTGGTGAAGCTCCTGCCGTTAGCCACGACTCAAGTGGACGTTTCTACTCTGGTGACGTTGCTATGCTCTCCACACCTTTCGACATTCCCATCCGTAAGATCAAGATCATTGCCAAGAACGGTGTGATTCGTTTGATCATCCCTCCTGTTTGATTTCATGATGATGAAGCTGCTATGTTTTCTGTTTCTTTAAATTCGTGAAGCCTTTTGGACTTCTTCTTTAGGGATTATTTCGTAATTTTGGACAGCTTTTATCAACTTTGATATGTTTCAAAAAGACAATCTTTTTTTTTGGTGTCTACTATGAGTCTCTAAATTGTTACCAATTTCTCAAGGTCTCTCTATTGATTTGCATTAGATAAAATTACAAAAAGTTGTTGTTATCTAAGAACCAACAAATACTATGCAAGAATTAAGTGTAATTTGAAATAATCTTCAAGTGTGAATGCAGATAAGATTGGACGGCTGTGATTTTCGTTTCAATATCAACTAAATAATATGTGTACCGTCGGATTCTTTTCCTATTTATAACTTTTCGTCAACGGTCAAAAGTAAACATGCCACGTCAGCTAAGAAGTGTAGATATTTCCTTTTGTAGCCTTCCCATGCCCATAAAGTTCCAGAAACCTCTAAATGCAAAAACCCTAAAGCACTGAGAAAGCTTGAATCTTTGGTTGAATCATGGCAATGGCCGTTCCTCTTAGTACTCCTCCTCAATCTCCCGGTATGATTCTTCTCAAATCTCGTTCAGATTTCCACTTTACGTCACTGATTCTTCTCATTTCTCTGATTTGTTTGGTTTTTCTCTCTTTTAATGTTGGAGAAAGCAGAAGGTTTTTACGCAATCAACAACCAGTTTCTGACGTCTGGGCCAAAAGGGTTCACTGAGTTCAAGATGCTGGTAAATGAAGACATGTTCGTGAGAATGGATTTGCCTGGAGTTCCTGAAGAAGGCGTGAGGGTTTTTCTTGACCCATTTTTGTTGGTGATAACCATTCAGGTAAGCTTTTCTTTTCTTCAATCAAAATTCTTACATAGTCAAATTTCGTTGCAACATATCAATACATCCTCAGAGACTTGTTCTAAGACAAAACCAAACAAACTAAGTAGGATCTGTTACGGAGTCAACCAAGAATTGGAAATTTAGGTTGAATCAAAGCAAATCGAGCAACACCGCTCTTCTTGCATCGGTAAGTACCCATTTTTTCTCTATTATTATCGTTTATAGATCATTTTTCTGATGTAAAAAGTTTATGTTTTTGACAGCATTTCTTGCTGGCCCAGGTTTCCGTGAAGGTATTTCCATTTTTAATCGATCTACCTTTTCCAGAAACTTTCAATATCTAAAAGTTTGGCTTTTTCCTACACAAACTTTTGAAATTTGTTTACTCATCTTTAAATGTTTGTCTTTTCTATTTGTTTGTGGTGGTAGATCTCCGTGGCACCGATCCAAATGGTATCCTCCTCTTCAACTTTATGGTTACTATATTAGTACTGAGAATATTGGGTGTTTTAAAAGAGAGTATTTGTGTTGTAATGTGGATCAGACCCGGCGTTAACCGGTCCGGTATTGCAGCCACATCCAATGGCGTTCCCACTAACGACTATGGCCTATGAGTCGAAGCAGCTCCCAGACGGCAAACTACACGTGCGCGTAGACATGCCGGGTGTTCCCAGTGACAACTTCACTGTCTCTGTCACGAATGGGCGAGTGAAGGTGACAGGTGAAGCTCCTGCCGTTGGCCACCACTCAAGTGGCCGTTTCTACTCTGGTGACGTTGCTATGCTCTCCACTCCTGTTGACATTCCCAGCCATCGGATCGAGACCATCGCCAAGAACGGTGTGATTGGTCTCCTTATCCCTCCATTTTGCTGATGATTTCATGATGAAACTTTGACTTTTCTAGAGTGGACCTTTTATCTGGGATTGTGTCGTTTGTTTTTGTGGATCATGTCGTTTTATGTTTTATCAGTACTTTGGATATGTCTCTACGATTTCATGATGAAACTTACTTTCATACTAACTCTGGAATTGGTCGTGCAAAGAAGATATTGAGCTGTCAAAAAGGAGGGTCTAGGTTTTTACTATCAATGAGGGAAATACCTAAGACAATGAGTGGGGACAAACAACAGCTTGATTCAAGAAAACTCTTTAACATTGGGTCCATATCAAATGCAAACTGTGTTAAAATCTACCACATTTCCTGTACAGGCTTAGGGAAACAATCAAGAAAAGACTAGCTGTGTAACCTATTAGGCACTGAAACCTTCCAGGACCTGTGACAATTAGGACGGGACAATAGACTGTGATGTCTGCAAAACGCACTCTAAACTATGATCCATGATTCTATCAGCACAAATGAAGTACTATGCAATAGCCAGGTTTACAAACGTGTACTATTACTTTTTAGCAGGAAGCAAAGCAATAAACTATCACCAAATTCACTTCACATCCTTTCCTCTTTTTCTATCTGTTGAAACATCTATACACATATATTCAATTACATACTCTTCTTCTGGAAACAATACGTTGCAGTGCCTGTTCTAGTTGGAACCAATGGGATTATCAGCTACCAACCCAATGCTGAAACAAGTAACTTTCAGGGTCTAAATGCTACCATCAAACTAACAAACAACCATGCTTCACTAAAATTTTAAGTATGCTAAAGGCCAGGACCTGTTAACCCATTGATGCCAACATCCTCAAATATCTATCACACTCAAAACCATCTACCATGATTCTATCAACACAAATGACGTACAAGTATCACATAGCGCTAAGCAATAAACTAACACTAGAGATATAAATCAAGCAATAATAAAGGATTCCACCAACAAACTATCACTACACATCCTTTTCACTTTCCTATCTGTCGAAAGATATTTTCTTTATACGCATATACATATTCATAAACAATAAAAGGGCCTTTAAAAGGTGAAACAACCTTTGGATCTCTGCATCAAGTCTTCTTTCATCTTCTTTGTCATCCTTGTGATTTGATCACCGCCTGCAAAAGAATTTCACAAGCTAACTTGAGCATTCATTTATATCAGCACTAAAAAAGTACAAGGATCAAGTAGTGTTATGCAATAAACCAACACTTGGGATATAAATCAAGCAACAGTTAACTACTAACATGTACAAACACTAAGCAAATTAAGTAAGATTTCATCATAAAGTGTGAAACGAGAACCACCAATATAATCAAAAACTCACCCCCGGGAAAAACCACCGTCTCTCTGGCTCTGTTTCATGAAAAGAGCTCTCTCTCTTTCCTTCTCAACCCTCTCCCTCTTCAACCTTTCTTCTCTCAACTCCTTCAAGCTCTTCTTCCCACTCATCTTCTTCTTCTTAGCTTCGTCACCTCTATATCCACCATCATCATCCTCACCACGAACACAATCATCATCACCGTTCCGTTTCTCAAGATACCAAGGACGCTTCACACCTTTACCAGCAACCCCATATCCCAATCTATACTTCTCCTCATCAGGATCACCAGCTCTCGCTGCAGCATCTTTCGCAGAAGCTCTCGCCGTTGCAGCAGCTTCTTTCCTCATCTTCTTCCTTCTCTGATCTTCCTCCTCCGCAGGCTTATCATTCTTCGGAATCTCAATCGGATCAAATATCCTAATCCCTTCAAATAGATTTATATGACCCGTCTTAGGCTCCTCCGGTTCAACACTCTCCACAACAACAGCAGTGGATTTAACAACAGCCGCCGCCACCACCACTGCTTCATCCTTACCCTTCTCTGCCTCCGGAGAAGCTCGTTTCAGAGGTGCCAAGCCACGGACGTTACGAAGCACTTCGAGACGAGATTCAGCATCTCGTTTTCTAGCTTCCTCGCGTTTGATCTGCTCTTCTCTAGCGGCAGCTTCTTCGTCCTTTCGGACTTTTTCTCGATTGTCGAAGTTGTAAACATTCCACCGCTTCTGTGGAAGAATATTCAAACCACCGTGACCTCCCATAGCTTAATCTTTCCAAACAAAATTAGGGTTTTCAAAGGATGAGATTGAATCGAACCAAGAGATGGATGAGAGAACTTCGAAGCGATTTGGAAAATAAAAACTTGATCGGAATAAAATTGAATTTTGGCAGAGAAGTTTGAGAAAATCGCCTAATTATTTAACTATGAGGCCCATTGAGCCCATTAAGTGATATTTTAATAATTAAAGGCCCAATAGATCTGCTTTAGAGTGATGCAACGTCAACAATAGGCTTAAGTTGATGAATCTCTGTTTCAGATTCTTGTTGAGAAAATCTGTGACACATTATGTTACCATGTAGTATTGTTGATGCTACGAATTTGTTTTAGCATCAAGATAAAAGTGCTAGTAAATGAAAGATTATTAAGTAACTCTCAAGATTAAAGTGCTTTAAGAACTACTAAGTACATGTTCCTAAACTCTTATCTATTTCTTTCCTTACAATTTTCTTCTTCAATGCAAACTATATATACACCAAAAATAAGATTCTGCACAATATCAGATACTAAACACCAAAAGCTAGTTTTCTATTCAGCATTAAGGTTGAGCCAATCAAACTCATTCTCTGGTAGCTCTTTTTCCTCTTCTTTAACTCCTCTCCCAACAATCACATTGATTCTCCACAACACAATCTTACTTTCCCATTTCATGCCTTTGATTGCATAGAGTCTCCAAAGCAGACCCTTAAGGAACTTGTATTGGCTCGTACTGTACCATTCCAATTGTTTCTTCACAATGCTTTCCACATCTCTAAAAGCTCTCCTCACAACCCCAACTTCCATTTCTCTTCCCACAAGCTCTCTTATAGAATCTATCATCTTATGTGCAATTTCCTTAACGGATTCAGCTTTACTTGACATCTCTATCAAGTGAATTGCTAAACAAAAGCCACCCATAAACGCCAAGACCCAGCTACTGTTATCTACCAACAACTCTCTTGGTGGGTCTAGCCTTGTGATTATCTTTAGGAAAAGATTCTCCATCACAGGAATCACAAAATCGTCATCAATAAGCGCCATTGTTAAGCACTGGAAGATATAAACCGCTCTTTGAAACTCTGTTTTACTCGATGCTATATAATTGCGTAGCTCAGACCATGTCTCCTCTTGGCAGATCAACATCTCATACGCAACATGGTTCACCACCTCACCTAAGACTTTGAATATACTGTTAAAGGAAACTCCTTCTTCCTTTAAGCAAGAGATGAGCAATGGTTGGAGTTGTCTCATCTCTGAAATGTCTATTTGCACCTTCTTTGAAGTGTGGTCACAGAGTAAGACATTGAGTCGTCTGATTGCTATCTCTCTGGACCTATCTTCAAGTTCAGAGGACGCAAAGATCTTTAACAATTCCAGTGAAGATAAATTCTTCAAACGATCATACCATCCACGGTCAAACTCTTCTCTACCATTCTTAAGATCATCATCCTGTGGTTTGCTGGCTGCAGGATTGTCCTGTTCTGTAACCAACATTTTGATCTTCCTCACAATCTCCTTGGTCTGTGTTCCGACTACTCCTTCAATCTCGTTCATGGAAGCCAACACAAAATGGCATTGATCTTTAGTGTAATGATACAGATTCATGTCTGGTGAGAAGAACCTCTCGAAATCTTCAAGCCCTCGTACCAAAAACTGTTCTTTTTCCTTCTCCACTAGCTTCTTTACTGAATTCACAACAGAGGAAATCCGAATCTCCATTAACGCCATTTGTAACTAGAATCTCATCCCTGTTTTCAAAAGCTGAATCCAAATTTTAAACATGAACTGGAGCACTGAATCCCCTAAAATAGCCATGGAACTGGTCTTTCTGACATATCAGAGAACACAAACTCTTTTTCATTCAGCACATTAACAAGTATTAAGATCAAGAAAGGTAGATGAAGAAGGTAAGGAAAGGCTGAAACTTATTTGACAACATTGGAAGGAAAATATGGGTGATGTAATGTAACCTATATACATTGTGTGCTGCTGCTTGAAATGCCTTTGCAAGTGTGCCAGCGTGAAATACAAAGGAAAGTGTAATATCAATATCTTTCCCACTTGAGTCCAGAAGACCAACAACAACTGAAATAAATAAATTAATGTGCCAACAAGAAAAAAATAATATGATAAGAAGACAGTGGTTTGTATACCACGAGTAAAGCTGAATACAAAAACTAGATTCTCTTGAGGTCTGTTTCCTACACTTGTTTATTGTGTACAAATGAGCTAATACATTGAAACATATCAAGATAACAAGAAGTTTAGAGACGACACACAAGTGGTATCACATTTCCTTAGAATCTGTCACTACCATGGACTGTCCTTTAACACGTTGAAACATATCAAGATAACAAGAAGTTTAGAGATAACAAGAAACATATCAAGATAACAAGAAGTTTAGAGACGACACACAAGTGGTATCACATTTCCTTAGAATCTGTCACCACCATGACTGTCCTTTAACACGTTGTCTTATTATCTTCACATTCTTCTTCCACACCACTCCAGCTTCGGCCAGCTTGTTATAGGTGGTCTTCTGGACTCGGTACTCGACACCCTTCATCTCTAAGTACTCTGAAAACTTTTTTGCCGTTTCTGTATCTCTATGCTCCACGCAGCGACTCAGAACACTGTTGATGATTTCCCGGTTTGGAGCGTACACTATCATACTTCTAACCTCAAGTGCTGCTTTCTTCAGCTGATTCTTTCTTGCTAATGCATCAATATATGTGCCGAGATGTTCGATATAAGGTTCCTCCCACAGACCTTTGAAGATCTTCCCTAAGATGTAGTGAGCGAACTCTGTCTCTCCAGAATGAGAACAAGCGACAAGAATGTTCCAATAGGTCGCAGGTGTCTTTGTCAACTGCTTAGGCATGTTTGCATAAACACGAATTGCTTCGTGCCCATCACCTAATAATCCAAGAGTGGCAATGTATGTGTTCCAGACTCCAAGACCTGCGTACCCAGAGAAGTAACACTCAAAGAACACTCTCTTAGCTTGTGTAGGATATCCAGATGCGGCATAAAGCCTAAGTAGGTTGCACATGAGTGAGTCTGTCTTCAGTCCATGTTTAACAATGCTCCCATGTATGTCTGCAGCAGTGAGAGTGACATCCGATCCCGTTTTGCTCTCAACCATACTTATCCTCTGCTTCAGGAGATTCACAAATTTTGCTGCAGCAGCGTACATCAAATCCCTGAGAAAGAGATTTTTCAAGAATCCATCAGTGGTAATATTACAAAGCTGAAACGGAAACTGAATATGCATACATTATTCACTCTATTAACTCCCATTAGCAATCATTGCCCAAAAACAGATCTCGAGTAATCTGAAAGCTAACCTTAAATGGAAGATTTCACACCTAAATGCGATTATATATAACTAAGGAGGGACATAAATGAACACACTCAATTCCTGATTAAGTCGTCTATTCATTAGAATTGTATAGAACCACAAACCCAAGCCAAAATCACATCAGTGAACATAAAACTAAAGATCAGTTCCGATATACATGTTAAATCACACATCTCTAAAGTTATCATCCACTCGTTTCTTATTTAGAATCAGAAACAGAAATTGCCATATAGATATTGATGAGTAATTAAGATCTCGTTTGTTTTAGAATCACAAAGAAAAGACTATGGTATTACTTTTGGTTACGCTGAATCTGATTGTCACGAACTACTTCCGTTGGATAAGACCTGAGAAATGAAGAAGTTTATCGTCGTGAGGATCGTGAATTCTGGAAAACGATATTATAAAAGTATAACGATGAAGATATGAAAATTAGATCCGATTCTGATTCTAAGACTGAGATTCGTCTCACCGAGGATCACTGTAGTGACGAACTGGAGATGCATAAGCCCTAGAATAGAGAACAAGTTTTTTAGTCATGACTCTGTCGATGAACTTTGGAACGAGATTACAAAAGAATAAGACGACGTATAACGAGTATGACGAAGAAGATTTCAAAATCAGATCCGATTCTTGTAATACGACAAACGATTTCGTACCTGGTGCAGTGATCAACGTCCGATGATGCATAGGCCCTGAAACTGAAGAATTTCACCGTTAATACGAATGCTTGAACGAGATTAAAGAATAATGCGAAGAACTAACAAGCATGAAGAAGAAAAGTACCGATGACGGAGAAGGTTTCCGATCGATGACTTGGATCGCAACAAATTCGTTGTCATGATGATTAGCCGATGATTTCAAGCAGAAATGTGAAGGAAGAAGAAGAAATTTGGAAAGAAGACGAAGAATGTTTCCTCTGAGTCTCTCTGCAACAGACTGCTGGAGAAAAAGCTACTTCTGCAAGACGGTTATTTGTCGCCTTTAAAGAAAAGAGAAGGAAAAAACTCTTTAAAAAGAAATTTGTTAGCCACACTCTAAATCCACGTCAGCAAAGTCCCTCGCGAGAGTTTTTTTTAAACTTTAAACCGATCAAAATCCATCGACCAAAAAAACCTCTTATTAAATATGAAATATACGACCTTAATTTATATTATTTTATTTTGGCAATTTTCTTATTTCAATTATTAATTATCACTTAAAAGTTTTCTAGTTTTCTTAGAAAAACAAAGTGGGTATTCCTAAACAACAGCGAAGTGGGCAAATGAGAATTACGTCTCTAAGTTTTTCCTTATTAATAAAATTGGCTAATCAAATAATAAAATTGTGAATTTTTTCTTCCAATGTTTTTTACTCTGGGTTCCCATATTTTGGTATATATATAACTTCGCTTATTAACTTTAATGAATCCGTCGTGTCTTATATGGAAAAGAGAGAGGGTGGGTGCGTCTCATATGCGTGTGCATGTCACGTGACAATTCTTTGTTTTCGCAGCAACTTGTGGAAAATTGACAGATTTGCCCTCGAACTGACTTGGATGGTAAGGAATCGTCTACAATGAAGCGCATCCAGTAATATGATAGATATACGCCACGTGTTCGTTTTCATACTTTGTATATTTCTAACGGTGATAAGAGATGGAGAGGTAACAGAATCGGCCGTAATGATTAATTTCTCGTTTTACACTCGCGGAGAAGGCATTACTAGAGTGGGGCCGATAACGCACGTGAGGAAATCTAATAATGAAGACGAATAATGTTTCCTCTTATGGTTATCAAAAAATAAAAAAAAGAATGTTTTCTCGTATGAGTCTGTAACGGAATTCTCGTACAAACAATGGAAAAAATCAGCAATTGCGATTTTGACACGTGGTGACTGTCGTTTTTCGCCTTTTAAAAAGAAATTTTGTAAACAATGCCGCTCATGTATTGAGACACGTCATTAGGAAAATCTTCTTAACCACACCCTGAATCCACGTCACAAAAGTCCCTAGTGATGGTTTAAACTTTAACCTTCTCTCCAGTCTCCATGTCACCAAAGTCGTCTTCATCAGATATATTTTAAAATAATCCATTGTAAATATTTTTCATCAGATATTTCATGGATTATTTTTACTTGTGGCAGCTTTTTTTTTCACTAGATATAAAATTTTATTGATAAAATTTTCAAGATAAATTAGAAAGAGTGGATTATAAAAGCCGGGAAAAGAAACAACCAGAAGCGGAGGTAAATGGTTAATAAGAGGGTCAGTTGAACTCTATAAAATTATGAAAATGGTTTATTTACATGTATTTTTAGAAGTAAAATTCAGAAAATTAGTTTAAAATGTATTTGTTAACCCCCACAAAAACTCGTATGAAATAGATATTAATCACTAGAATATAAATTAACCCCTATAAAAGTAAGGCTATCTCCACCACTGGAAACAACCCTTTCAGAAACTAAGCCGACAAGTAAACAAAAATTCTTGAAGACAAGGATGAAAAAACAAAGGAGAAAAACCCATAACAAAGAAACACCTAAAATCATATCCAACACTTTCCGAACTCATAACCCAACGATTCAAAAATAAATATACAAATCTAAATTAAAGATAAAAGTACAGATCTAAGACTAGAAACTCACACAAACGAAAATAAAACCAAGACTCTTCTTACCACTAACGGCGGTGAGACAAATCCAATACTCCGAAACCCAAAGGAATGAAAGCCTCATTAAAAAAGGAAGGAGATCAAAATTTTCGATGTTGAGAAAACTGCATCTAAGGCGGCGAATAGATTAGAGCAAGCCTCTACCATGATTGGAACGGCTAGAACTGAAGGTGCAAATGAAAGAGACGTAACAAGCAGCAAAACCCACAAATTTAGACTTTATATATCTAGATTTGAAAATCAAGATCCAAAACTGTTAGAAGAAAATAAAATGCAGATCTGCCAAAAAAAAAGAGTAAATGAAACTAAAACATGAAAAAAACAAAGCCTCCGGCTCTGATGCTGAAAAAGCCACCGGAACCGGTAGCCCTAGGCGACGGTTGCGGCTTTACATGTGGGAGCTTAATTCAATAATTTTCTTATTAGCCTTTATTAAAAGCTTAATTTCTTCATTAAATATAAATTATATAGTCTATTTTGTAAATATTTCATGTTAATATTTTTGATATTTCATGGAATACCCACTTTGTTTTTCTAAGAAAACTAGAAAACTTTTAAGTGATAATTAATAATTGAAATAAGAAAATTGCCAAAATAAAATAATATAAATTAAGGTCGTATATTTCATATTTAATAAGAGGTTTTTTTGGTCGATGGATTTTGATCGGTTTAAAGTTTAAAAAAAACTCTCGCGAGGGACTTTGCTGACGTGGATTTAGAGTGTGGCTAACAAATTTCTTTTTAAAGAGTTTTTTCCTTCTCTTTTCTTTAAAGGCGACAAATAACCGTCTTGCAGAAGTAGCTTTTTCTCCAGCAGTCTGTTGCAGAGAGACTCAGAGGAAACATTCTTCGTCTTCTTTCCAAATTTCTTCTTCTTCCTTCACATTTCTGCTTGAAATCATCGGCTAATCATCATGACAACGAATTTGTTGCGATCCAAGTCATCGATCGGAAACCTTCTCCGTCATCGGTACTTTTCTTCTTCATGCTTGTTAGTTCTTCGCATTATTCTTTAATCTCGTTCAAGCATTCGTATTAACGGTGAAATTCTTCAGTTTCAGGGCCTATGCATCATCGGACGTTGATCACTGCACCAGGTACGAAATCGTTTGTCGTATTACAAGAATCGGATCTGATTTTGAAATCTTCTTCGTCATACTCGTTATACGTCGTCTTATTCTTTTGTAATCTCGTTCCAAAGTTCATCGACAGAGTCATGACTAAAAAACTTGTTCTCTATTCTAGGGCTTATGCATCTCCAGTTCGTCACTACAGTGATCCTCGGTGAGACGAATCTCAGTCTTAGAATCAGAATCGGATCTAATTTTCATATCTTCATCGTTATACTTTTATAATATCGTTTTCCAGAATTCACGATCCTCACGACGATAAACTTCTTCATTTCTCAGGTCTTATCCAACGGAAGTAGTTCGTGACAATCAGATTCAGCGTAACCAAAAGTAATACCATAGTCTTTTCTTTGTGATTCTAAAACAAACGAGATCTTAATTACTCATCAATATCTATATGGCAATTTCTGTTTCTGATTCTAAATAAGAAACGAGTGGATGATAACTTTAGAGATGTGTGATTTAACATGTATATCGGAACTGATCTTTAGTTTTATGTTCACTGATGTGATTTTGGCTTGGGTTTGTGGTTCTATACAATTCTAATGAATAGACGACTTAATCAGGAATTGAGTGTGTTCATTTATGTCCCTCCTTAGTTATATATAATCGCATTTAGGTGTGAAATCTTCCATTTAAGGTTAGCTTTCAGATTACTCGAGATCTGTTTTTGGGCAATGATTGCTAATGGGAGTTAATAGAGTGAATAATGTATGCATATTCAGTTTCCGTTTCAGCTTTGTAATATTACCACTGATGGATTCTTGAAAAATCTCTTTCTCAGGGATTTGATGTACGCTGCTGCAGCAAAATTTGTGAATCTCCTGAAGCAGAGGATAAGTATGGTTGAGAGCAAAACGGGATCGGATGTCACTCTCACTGCTGCAGACATACATGGGAGCATTGTTAAACATGGACTGAAGACAGACTCACTCATGTGCAACCTACTTAGGCTTTATGCCGCATCTGGATATCCTACACAAGCTAAGAGAGTGTTCTTTGAGTGTTACTTCTCTGGGTACGCAGGTCTTGGAGTCTGGAACACATACATTGCCACTCTTGGATTATTAGGTGATGGGCACGAAGCAATTCGTGTTTATGCAAACATGCCTAAGCAGTTGACAAAGACACCTGCGACCTATTGGAACATTCTTGTCGCTTGTTCTCATTCTGGAGAGACAGAGTTCGCTCACTACATCTTAGGGAAGATCTTCAAAGGTCTGTGGGAGGAACCTTATATCGAACATCTCGGCACATATATTGATGCATTAGCAAGAAAGAATCAGCTGAAGAAAGCAGCACTTGAGGTTAGAAGTATGATAGTGTACGCTCCAAACCGGGAAATCATCAACAGTGTTCTGAGTCGCTGCGTGGAGCATAGAGATACAGAAACGGCAAAAAAGTTTTCAGAGTACTTAGAGATGAAGGGTGTCGAGTACCGAGTCCAGAAGACCACCTATAACAAGCTGGCCGAAGCTGGAGTGGTGTGGAAGAAGAATGTGAAGATAATAAGACAACGTGTTAAAGGACAGTCATGGTGGTGACAGATTCTAAGGAAATGTGATACCACTTGTGTGTCGTCTCTAAACTTCTTGTTATCTTGATATGTTTCTTGTTATCTCTAAACTTCTTGTTATCTTGATATGTTTCAACGTGTTAAAGGACAGTCCATGGTAGTGACAGATTCTAAGGAAATGTGATACCACTTGTGTGTCGTCTCTAAACTTCTTGTTATCTTGATATGTTTCAATGTATTAGCTCATTTGTACACAATAAACAAGTGTAGGAAACAGACCTCAAGAGAATCTAGTTTTTGTATTCAGCTTTACTCGTGGTATACAAACCACTGTCTTCTTATCATATTATTTTTTTCTTGTTGGCACATTAATTTATTTATTTCAGTTGTTGTTGGTCTTCTGGACTCAAGTGGGAAAGATATTGATATTACACTTTCCTTTGTATTTCACGCTGGCACACTTGCAAAGGCATTTCAAGCAGCAGCACACAATGTATATAGGTTACATTACATCACCCATATTTTCCTTCCAATGTTGTCAAATAAGTTTCAGCCTTTCCTTACCTTCTTCATCTACCTTTCTTGATCTTAATACTTGTTAATGTGCTGAATGAAAAAGAGTTTGTGTTCTCTGATATGTCAGAAAGACCAGTTCCATGGCTATTTTAGGGGATTCAGTGCTCCAGTTCATGTTTAAAATTTGGATTCAGCTTTTGAAAACAGGGATGAGATTCTAGTTACAAATGGCGTTAATGGAGATTCGGATTTCCTCTGTTGTGAATTCAGTAAAGAAGCTAGTGGAGAAGGAAAAAGAACAGTTTTTGGTACGAGGGCTTGAAGATTTCGAGAGGTTCTTCTCACCAGACATGAATCTGTATCATTACACTAAAGATCAATGCCATTTTGTGTTGGCTTCCATGAACGAGATTGAAGGAGTAGTCGGAACACAGACCAAGGAGATTGTGAGGAAGATCAAAATGTTGGTTACAGAACAGGACAATCCTGCAGCCAGCAAACCACAGGATGATGATCTTAAGAATGGTAGAGAAGAGTTTGACCGTGGATGGTATGATCGTTTGAAGAATTTATCTTCACTGGAATTGTTAAAGATCTTTGCGTCCTCTGAACTTGAAGATAGGTCCAGAGAGATAGCAATCAGACGACTCAATGTCTTACTCTGTGACCACACTTCAAAGAAGGTGCAAATAGACATTTCAGAGATGAGACAACTCCAACCATTGCTCATCTCTTGCTTAAAGGAAGAAGGAGTTTCCTTTAACAGTATATTCAAAGTCTTAGGTGAGGTGGTGAACCATGTTGCGTATGAGATGTTGATCTGCCAAGAGGAGACATGGTCTGAGCTACGCAATTATATAGCATCGAGTAAAACAGAGTTTCAAAGAGCGGTTTATATCTTCCAGTGCTTAACAATGGCGCTTATTGATGACGATTTTGTGATTCCTGTGATGGAGAATCTTTTCCTAAAGATAATCACAAGGCTAGACCCACCAAGAGAGTTGTTGGTAGATAACAGTAGCTGGGTCTTGGCGTTTATGGGTGGCTTTTGTTTAGCAATTCACTTGATAGAGATGTCAAGTAAAGCTGAATCCGTTAAGGAAATTGCACATAAGATGATAGATTCTATAAGAGAGCTTGTGGGAAGAGAAATGGAAGTTGGGGTTGTGAGGAGAGCTTTTAGAGATGTGGAAAGCATTGTGAAGAAACAATTGGAATGGTACAGTACGAGCCAATACAAGTTCCTTAAGGGTCTGCTTTGGAGACTCTATGCAATCAAAGGCATGAAATGGGAAAGTAAGATTGTGTTGTGGAGAATCAATGTGATTGTTGGGAGAGGAGTTAAAGAAGAGGAAAAAGAGCTACCAGAGAATGAGTTTGATTGGCTCAACCTTAATGCTGAATAGAAAACTAGCTTTTGGTGTTTAGTATCTGATATTGTGCAGAATCTTATTTTTGGTGTATATATAGTTTGCATTGAAGAAGAAAATTGTAAGGAAAGAAATAGATAAGAGTTTAGGAACATGTACTTAGTAGTTCTTAAAGCACTTTAATCTTGAGAGTTACTTAATAATCTTTCATTTACTAGCACTTTTATCTTGATGCTAAAACAAATTCGTAGCATCAACAATACTACATGGTAACATAATGTGTCACAGATTTTCTCAACAAGAATCTGAAACAGAGATTCATCAACTTAAGCCTATTGTTGACGTTGCATCACTCTAAAGCAGATCTATTGGGCCTTTAATTATTAAAATATCACTTAATGGGCTCAATGGGCCTCATAGTTAAATAATTAGGCGATTTTCTCAAACTTCTCTGCCAAAATTCAATTTTATTCCGATCAAGTTTTTATTTTCCAAATCGCTTCGAAGTTCTCTCATCCATCTCTTGGTTCGATTCAATCTCATCCTTTGAAAACCCTAATTTTGTTTGGAAAGATTAAGCTATGGGAGGTCACGGTGGTTTGAATATTCTTCCACAGAAGCGGTGGAATGTTTACAACTTCGACAATCGAGAAAAAGTCCGAAAGGACGAAGAAGCTGCCGCTAGAGAAGAGCAGATCAAACGCGAGGAAGCTAGAAAACGAGATGCTGAATCTCGTCTCGAAGTGCTTCGTAACGTCCGTGGCTTGGCACCTCTGAAACGAGCTTCTCCGGAGGCAGAGAAGGGTAAGGATGAAGCAGTGGTGGTGGCGGCGGCTGTTGTTAAATCCACTGCTGTTGTTGTGGAGAGTGTTGAACCGGAGGAGCCTAAGACGGGTCATATAAATCTATTTGAAGGGATTAGGATATTTGATCCGATTGAGATTCCGAAGAATGATAAGCCTGCGGAGGAGGAAGATCAGAGAAGGAAGAAGATGAGGAAAGAAGCTGCTGCAACGGCGAGAGCTTCTGCGAAAGATGCTGCAGCGAGAGCTGGTGATCCTGATGAGGAGAAGTATAGATTGGGATATGGGGTTGCTGGTAAAGGTGTGAAGCGTCCTTGGTATCTTGAGAAACGGAACGGTGATGATGATTGTGTTCGTGGTGAGGATGATGATGGTGGATATAGAGGTGACGAAGCTAAGAAGAAGAAGATGAGTGGGAAGAAGAGCTTGAAGGAGTTGAGAGAAGAAAGGTTGAAGAGGGAGAGGGTTGAGAAGGAAAGAGAGAGAGCTCTTTTCATGAAACAGAGCCAGAGAGACGGTGGTTTTTCCCGGGGGTGAGTTTTTGATTATATTGGTGGTTCTCGTTTCACACTTTATGATGAAATCTTACTTAATTTGCTTAGTGTTTGTACATGTTAGTAGTTAACTGTTGCTTGATTTATATCCCAAGTGTTGGTTTATTGCATAACACTACTTGATCCTTGTACTTTTTTAGTGCTGATATAAATGAATGCTCAAGTTAGCTTGTGAAATTCTTTTGCAGGCGGTGATCAAATCACAAGGATGACAAAGAAGATGAAAGAAGACTTGATGCAGAGATCCAAAGGTTGTTTCACCTTTTAAAGGCCCTTTTATTGTTTATGAATATGTATATGCGTATAAAGAAAATATCTTTCGACAGATAGGAAAGTGAAAAGGATGTGTAGTGATAGTTTGTTGGTGGAATCCTTTATTATTGCTTGATTTATATCTCTAGTGTTAGTTTATTGCTTAGCGCTATGTGATACTTGTACGTCATTTGTGTTGATAGAATCATGGTAGATGGTTTTGAGTGTGATAGATATTTGAGGATGTTGGCATCAATGGGTTAACAGGTCCTGGCCTTTAGCATACTTAAAATTTTAGTGAAGCATGGTTGTTTGTTAGTTTGATGGTAGCATTTAGACCCTGAAAGTTACTTGTTTCAGCATTGGGTTGGTAGCTGATAATCCCATTGGTTCCAACTAGAACAGGCACTGCAACGTATTGTTTCCAGAAGAAGAGTATGTAATTGAATATATGTGTATAGATGTTTCAACAGATAGAAAAAGAGGAAAGGATGTGAAGTGAATTTGGTGATAGTTTATTGCTTTGCTTCCTGCTAAAAAGTAATAGTACACGTTTGTAAACCTGGCTATTGCATAGTACTTCATTTGTGCTGATAGAATCATGGATCATAGTTTAGAGTGCGTTTTGCAGACATCACAGTCTATTGTCCCGTCCTAATTGTCACAGGTCCTGGAAGGTTTCAGTGCCTAATAGGTTACACAGCTAGTCTTTTCTTGATTGTTTCTCTAAGCCTGTACAGGAAATGTGGTAGATTTTAACACAGTTTTCATTTGATATGGACCCAATGTTAAAGAGTTTTCTTGAATCAAGCTGTTGTTTGTCCCCACTCATTGTCTTAGTTATTTCCCTCATTGATAATAAAAACCTAGAAACCAATTCCAGAGTTAGTATTAGGCAGAGAGTTTTTGGTGAGTGTTGGCATATATAACCTTAGGCTCGTAACCACTTGAAACAACACACTAGTTTTGATTCTGTAGCATATCAGTGTTAGGGCCTGAAGTTAGAGAACTGTTTTGGTAGCTAAAATCCCATTGTTTCCTAGTTGAATATGCACACCAAACTTTTAGTTTTGAGGAAAAGAATATAGGTGATTACTAATATTAGCTTGTGAAATTCCTGCAGACGGTGATTAAATCTTAAGGATGACAAAGATGACTTGATCTAGATATTCAAAGGTGATTCCACGTCTGAGAAGCCCCTTTTGTCATATATGTGTGTAGAGATTCATCACTGTTGTTGGCGTTGCCTTACTCTAAAGCAGATCTATTGGGCCTTTAATTATTAAAATATCACTTAATGGGCTCAATGGGCCTTAAAGTTAAAAATAAATATCAATAATTAGACGATTTTCTCTAACTTCTCTGCCAAAATTCAATTTTACTAGGCTAATACCCGCACGACGTGCAGGTTTTTTCATCCATAATTTGTCAGTTATAGCAATTTACATTGATTGAGTTAATTTGATAAATAGTCCTTTTAGTACTTTTTTGTAACAATCATTTTGATGTATTCTTCTAACTCTCGAGTAAATAATTCATTCTATTTTTTGTTTTTTAGTTACATTGTTTACACTTATTTACAATTACTTACCTTAAAAACAAATAAAATATATATATTGTTATCTTAAAAGTAATTTTATATAAACGAAAAAGTAGTGTTGATTTAGTATCTTATATTTACCTTAAAATAAACCATAAATTCAACTAATATTCACTAATCCTATATATATATATATATTATAGTATATGAAGATATGAAAGAAATTCTAACATCATCTTATTTAATTTTCATACGTTAATAAAATCTAAAATTTAATTAAAATTCCATTGATTTTATGTTTATAAAGAAAAATTTAAATAATGTAATTTCTATATGAGTTTGATATACTTTTGTAACTAATTAAATTGAAATTACTTGATTAATAAGTTAATATCTGTCAATTTTCATATAAGTAAGAATTAATGTATGATTTAAATTCTTAACTAAATAAAATAAAATAATAAATATAATATGATTATATGGCACGTGGCACTCTCTCCACTGCTGACGTGGCGAAAGGATGGAGAGAGTTGGCCAACTTTTATATATATGATTCCGATCAAGTTTTATATTTTCCAATTCGCTTCGAAGTTCTCTTTCCATCTCTTGGTTCGATTCAATCTCATCGTTTGAAAACCCTAATTTTGTTTGGTAAAAACGACTCGTTTTATATAAAGTGCTAATTTCTTATTTTGGGATGCCCAAAAACAAAAAGTAGGTTAAAAATGTATTCGTCGGCGATGTCGAGCAGCCGCCGCTGCATCCACCAGAGGATGAAGTCTTCACTAAAACCGTATCCGATTGGGATGGATTATTCCCGGAAGCAACGACCGAACTGCACCTCTAGCGGTCCATCACCACTGTTTCATCGAGTCAAGTTCCTGATCAATGACATTTCGGATCTTGACGTTGCAGCCAAGCACGCCCGTTTAGCCGCGAGGAAGAGGATGGACCCTGAAGAAGCCATCTTAACCTGCAACGCCATCATAGGAGCCATGTGCAACGCTGGGCGGTCCGGCGACGCCTTGGATATGTTCGATTTCTTTTTCAACAAATCCAAGATGAAGCCAAACATCGCTTCCTGCAATTTCATCATCAAATCCCACTGCGAGCAAGGCCGCCTTGACGACGCTCTTCAACTCTATTCCCATCTCCTCTCCTCGGACAACACTCCTTCTCCGGACCACAACACGTACGACCACTTGACCAAAGCCATGGTTGATGCGGGAATGATGAACCAAGCTCTGGATCTCTTGTTGAAAGGAAGAGCAGAATTGTTCAATTTCCAAAGGCCAGGCATGTACATGAATCTTATTCGTGGCTTCATGGAACAGGGTAATCTCGACATGGCGTCTCAGTTAAGGGACGATTTCAAGACTTGTTCCATACGCGAGTACATCGCAACCCTGGAATCAATATTCGTAGAGTATTTGTTTAAGCAAGGCAAGGATGAGGAAGCTATGGCTCTATACAAGAGCTCAGTGAGCATGGACAACAACGGCTTCACAACAAATGCAACTGTGGGCAATAAGTATTTGAAAATGCTGCTCAAGTACGGCAAGAAAACAGAGGCCTGGGCATTGTTCCAGTATATGCTTGACAATCACGGCAGCTGGAGTAGCTTTGATGCAGATAATCTTAATCTCATGGTGAACGAGTGTTTCGAGGTGGGACGTTTCAGCGATGCGGTCAACATCTTTAACAAGACCAAGGCAAAGAGTAAATACTCGCTGCCTGTGGAAGCATACAAGAATCTTATAACAAGGTTGTGTCAGAATGGGAGGCTGTCCGAGGCTGAGAGTGTGTTTGATGAATTGTTGAAAGAAGAATTCGTGAAACCAGATGATGAAACTTATAAAGCAATGATTCGTGCATATGTTGAGTCTGGAAGGGTTGAGGAAGCCGTTCAAACTGCAAACAAGATGGTCGCTTCTAAAGTCCACGAGGTTACTAAGTTGTTTTTCTAGTTACTTCTGTTTAGCTAAGCTAGGTTAGGTTTCTTTTGCTTTTACATTTGATTCTTTTGCTTTTATATTGATTCTGTTACCTTACTTGGTTTCGTTTACTATGTAGTTAAGACTTTCATAAGTTTGTGAACATACTTTGATGACTAGAGTTTCTAGGTTTGGAAATTTCTTGAGCAGAAGCGGCAACACTTGCAAACCGCTTTCCTTATGGCCCTCAAAAGATAGCTTAACAAGGTTGTTGATTTCGGGCAAAGATTTACAGCAGAAATGAAACACCTTATGATCACACAAACATATTATCAAACTAAAACACCGCCCCGATGATGTTTATATTGGTAATATTGTCCATCGGATAGAGTGAGTTTAACAAGTGTCTTGCTGAAGAAGAATTCATCAGGCTCTAGAAAATGAAAGGTTGATGATGACAAGTGTAGTGCCAAGACTCCACGTTTCAACGCATTGTATATCATATGGTTGACACGAGACTCCTCGAATAGAGATTCCCGTTTGATAGAGAATTTTCAAGGGTTTTCTCCATGAAATCAATGAAGCTTAGTGAGAATCTTCTGGGATAAAATCAGGCAATAGCAAGATTTTCTGAGATTACGTTGGGATCAAGAAACATGGACTCATCGAAATCAAGGTTGTGAACAAGAGGCAACAGATTCCTCCACCGCTTTGAGAGAATTGCTGTGGAAGCAGCAAGCTTAGTACGAAGCAAAGACAAGATCTGACCCAGAACCTCATCTGGTAGGCTGTTGATTGAATTTCCCCAACTATATTTGGTAGCCATTGTATCTCTGAAGCTTTGTTCACTGATTACATTAGCGCAGCATAATAACTAATAAGAAGAAAAAGGTGTAGAGAGGATATGGGCATTAGCGAAGACGTGCTTCTTTTCACGATGGGAACGGCTTATGGCGTATACGTTGCTCAGAATTACAACGTTCCAAATATTAAGAAGCTCACCAACACTGGTCTAGTCATCGCCAAGCACATCGAGGAGAATTACGGCAAACCCAACAACAAGGGCGATGTCAATTGATAGGGTTTACCAATCTCTAGCTGCTGATTAGGGCTTATTATTTGATTTGTTTGAAAATTGAAGACTATTTGATCGTGTGAGATCTTTGTATACAGATATGAAAATTGGGGATTTTAAGGGTGGAATTAATTGCTTCCTTGATACTTCCTTCAGTGATGATTTCGATTTTAAAGGTTCAATGTTATGATTTCAATTTCATCATTTCCTCTTTTATTATTCAAGGTTCTGTTTCTGCAGTAGCTTCACTATAAGAGACAATGGTAACCGGATTAGATAAACAATTAGATCAAATAAGTGTATCTAGATTTTAACTCGCGGTACACCGCGGGATGATTTAATTTTAAAGTTAATATAAAAATATTTTGTACATTGTATGTCCTTATAACATATTTATTTATATTATAGTTTACAATTGTTATTAAGTAACGGTATACCACGAGATAATTATTAATAAACTGAGGGTTTAACCCGTATTAAAGCGGTATATAAATATTGATTTAAATTCGTCCGCCATATAAATCTTTTCCAAAATATAATTCGTTCCGTAATTTCTTAACCCGTCCCGTGATTTGTTTTTATTTTAAAATTTAATAATTATTTATTATATATAAAAGTTTACAAATCATATCATTCTCTAAGACATGTATATTTTAATAAACTAAAGATTTAATATGTATTAAAGTGGCATGTTAATGATATTTTAAAATTTTATAAATATTGTTATTAAGTAACATTATACCACATGATAATTTTTGGTTTTATATAATCTTTTCTAAATGAGATTGATTTAATATGTCTAATATTTGTGGTATTAAAAAAAAGATTTAATCCGTATTAAAATGGCGGATTAATGATATTTTAATCTTTGTATTATTGTTGATTCAAAAACCCGTCCCGCCAAATCCGTCCCGCCAAAAAACTTATTTATTTTATTAATGTTCTTATTTATGATATGATTCTAAATCATTGTCTAAATATTTTAATCGATGTAGAACATTAAACACACACTTTCGTCAATTGGATAATATATGTCCGTTTTTAAAATTTCGAATCACAGTATATGCTGGAAAAAAAAATTGATTTTTTTTTTTTTACTTTATGTATTATATGATGATGCAAAACGGTTAAAAACAAATCAAACAAAGATGATAGAAGAATCATAATTATAAATTTTAATCAAATCTTCTAAATATCTAAATTATTAAATATGGAATATCCGGTGTATGAGTTGGGTTAAATATAACCCGACCCAACAAATTTTTTGTGAAGAAATTTTAAAAACGGATCGGATATCCGATATACCCGGAAGCATTTTTACCCATCCGTCACCAAAGTGTTGCAAAAATACTAGTATAGATTGTATAAATTCATAGCTTTGTGTGGCAGTTCTCTATTAGTCCAAGCAGTTGTGTCAAGTGTTTCCAGGTTTTTTCCAACGGTTTTCTCTAAGCATTATCTGTCACCTTTAAAAACTACACCATAATTTTAAAATATTTGAGATATACCTTACATTTTTATAAAATGACATTTTTACCTTTAATAACTAATTAAAAATCAGAAAATAAGAGTAAAATAAATTAATTAATAATTTGTAACAAATATAATTTTAAATTAAAATTAAACTGTTTATATTAAAAAAAAATAGTCAAAATTTGTTTAGGTAAAATATTTTTTTGGTAGGACTTTTTTAGCTAAACCTTTGTTTACAGAATTTGATTACAAAACTTTATTTAAAAATTAAGGACTTATTTACATATTTAAATTATATAGTTACAAACAATTAAATTGAAATAAATTATAATTTTAATTATATAATAAAATATTCTCTAGATATTTGGTTGTTTTAGTAAATATTTTGGATTATAGTTAATTTAATATTACTTACAAACTTAAAATATATAAAATTCAAAAATATTTTTATTAATTTAGTCAAGATTTTCGAAAAGTATATATTTAAATTACAGTATATCTCTTTCATACTAGTTAAAAATATAATTATACAACTGAAATTTGATTGTTTTAAATTAAAAAAATAATTATCTCATCTAAAAAAATCAGCAGTTCACAAAAGTCGATAATGTAAAAAATCAATCAATTAAAATATAAGTCGACGCTTTTAATAGAAGTCGATATAGAAAAAAATTAAGTCTATTAAAATAAAATATAAGTCGACAGTTCAAAAAGTATACTATATTAATAAATCAACGTAAAAATATAAGTCAACCAAGAATAAACAAGTTAGCTATGTAAAAAACTCAATCAACAAAAATATATGTCGACTGTTTTAAAATAAGTCGATAGAAGATTAATTTAATCGACGAATATGAAATATAAGTCGTCATTTCAAAATATCAACTTTATTAATAAGTCAACATAAACTGAAGTAAATCTACCATGAATAAACAAGCCGACGGAAAAAAACTATAAATCGATAAACAAAAAAATTAAGTCAACAGTTCTAAAAATCGACTATGTTATAAATCAACAAGCCAAAACATAAATCGACTGTTTTAAAATAAATCGATGGTGCAAAAATACTAGTCAACATAAGTGAAAAAAAGTCGATAGTTAAAAAAATCGACTTTAATCTTAAATCAAAATAAAGTAAAATAAGTATACTGAAAAATATGGAGAAATATAATATATATTATTATTTTATTTATTATAAATTACATAATTTTGAATTACTTATTTTTGAATAAATTACGATTATAAATAATACTAGATTTTACCCCGCGGTACACCGCGGGTCGATTTTTTTATAACTAAAAAATTATTTTGCAAAATTTTAAGTTGTATTTGTTTTGTTAATATTGTTTATTTTGTTTAGTGTTTCTGATTTTATAATTAAATTTTGATTTTTAATTCTAAAATTTCATCCATAGTATATTGTTTAATATTAATATCGATCTAACCCCGTTGCACCATATAACCCCGTCCCGTAAAATTAAACATCATTTGTTATTTTTTGAATAATATTTTTATCCACTACGGGTCGCAGGTTCATGCGGATAAGCCCGTAGAGAGTTGTGGGTTTGCGTGTCGACCCACCAAAAGAGAAGCTATCTTTTGAAACCTTTTGTTTTATTTAGAGGTTTTGAGAAAGTATCCCTAAAAATAATTTTCATTATATGAAAAAAAAGAAGTAGAAGAAATTGTAATATCAACATTCCCGATTTTTATATCACTCGTTACTATTAATTTTTTTTTTTGTAGATAAAAATCAGAAGTTAACTAAGTTGAGATTTTTAAAAAGATTGTGTAGAGATTTTTGGTAAATTGTTGAGAACATATTTGATTTCAAAATCTTTACTTAAATAGATAAGGAAAGATTTTGTAGAGACTTTTGCTAAATATATGAAAAATGAATTTCATTTAAAAATCTTTACTTAAATAAAACAAATCTAAATAATTAATGCTAATGGCATGCCATTGTAAATATTTTTCAACTTCAGGATTTATTTGCTAATTGTGATCCAAAAATGTATAGATAGATTATCAACAATAAATTTTTTTTATTTTTATTTATTTAGATAAAGATAAATCTAAACATAGTAAATAATATTTTTATTATTGAAAATAAACTAATTACGAAATTTTAATAAATTTTTGAAATATATTCATTGAACATTAGTTTTAAATTTAATTTATATTATTTTAAATTAATTTATTTAAATAATACTTAAATTATTACAAAGGGTATTATAGTCAATTTATAATAATAAAAGAGTAGTTTTCAAATAACTTGAAAATTGAGTGTAGTTTTCAAATTTCTTATAAAATTTAGTATTATATATATGAAAGTTGACCAAATCTCTTCATATGAGTGACACATCATCATATAAGAAAATGACATATGTGATTTTGCATTAATTAAATAAAAAAATAACAAAATTAAGTGAAAAAAAATCAAAAGTCTTCAATTGTATGAAACATTCCATCAATAACACTTTTAATTGATTTATTATACGCTTCTTATTTTATTAATCTTTTTTTATCAATGGTCATTACTCGATAATGTAAAAATTTACAGTTTAAATGTTTGCTACCTAACCTCTTCTTAGTTTAGTATTTTACCTTGAAACTTTTGTTATTATTATGTTTTGTGATTCATATACGATCATATAATCTTCTTTATTTTTATTTTTGTATCTTTTGGTAAGTTGGTAACATTGACAATGACATGCAAGTTTTTGCAAGTAATAGACTTTTGAGACATTAAACATACCAAAGAATTCAAGACACGATAATTCTCTCAGGTATATGCAAATACAAGGAGATAGATCTAAAAATGTTGACTTAAATGACTCTTCAATTTTTTTTTTTTTTTTTCTTTTTATATGAAAACTCTTGGAGCAAATGAATAGTTAGTTTTACATATGTTGTTTAAATTATGTTAATTCAATAGTATGTCTAATCATGAGACTATTATGATGTGCGTGGTTGGAGCAATAGATCACGAGTGAGTACATAAAACAACGATCTGTTTATTTATAATCAAGTTAGACAAGTTTCAAACTATATAAGTAACATAATTACATACCATTGTATCAATATATCATATATTGTTGTTGTATGTATTTATGTTAGTATAAAAAAATTAGAATCTTAGGTATATAGATAATTAGATTTATATATGCAAAATGTATAATTGATATTTGGAGTAAAAAAAGAATCTAACCATAAAAACTATAACTACATAAATTAGCAACAAAGAACAATATAATTTATTTTTAATAATTTTCAAAACAACAACCCACGTGTTGCGTGGGTATTCACCTAATATTTATAAAAAACTCTCTATTTTGAATGATGAAATTGAGTTTGGCGAGTGAGTGTTTAAGAACTTTTGATGTATTTGTCCCTTTTTTGGATCCATGGAACTCTTCTATTTCCCATGCTTCTAGGGAAAGTACTCAGTTACTACATATATGCCTGGGGTTTTGATTTGCGTTCTCATCTTTTTCTCACATTTCACTTGGTCACTAGCTAAACACAAAATTAGGAATAAACATTTCAGATGTAATAAGTGTATCATTCAAATCACATTGTTCAAATGTGTATCTCAAAGCAAACCTCATGATACATAAAATCTGTCATCAATAATGCCTCTGGTCTAGCTGTTTCTTTTCACATTCTTTTGAAGTTTCCAAGAAGCAAGCAGCGTAAAATCATCTTGCAACTACTGTTGACGTTGTATCCACTCTCTTTAAATCATAATTTATGGGCCTATAATTGTCAAAGTATCACAAAATGAGCCTAAAAGTTAAGTATCAACAATTAGCGACTTTCTTACAACGGCTCTGTTCGTTTACAAGTCTTTGGCGACTAGCGACTGTGACTAGCGACCAACGGCTCTGTTTGTTTGACAGTCGCTGGTCGCAGTCGTAGTCGTAGTCTCTGATCGCTAGCGACTGCTAAACGAACATAACCAACGATTGCGTTTATAGTGTGCTAATTTATGTTACGTGTACAAAAAGTGTAGGTTAAAAATGTTTTCACCGGCGATGTCAAGCAGCTACCGCTGCAGGATGCAGTCTTTATCAAATCGTATCCGTTTGGGAGGGAACATGCCCGTGCCTATGTAGGCAAATTAGAAACGTTCGCTTACAGCCTTTTTTTTTAGAATTAAAGTATTAAGGTTCTTAGTTTTTGTATTAATAGTAATAGTAATTTTAAATGCTTTAAAAAAGGAAAATCAGAAACAAATTATAAGCTAATATTAAAAAAATAACAAATTAGGGTATTAAACTTCTTCTTATGTCAACTTGAGGTTACTTTACCGTTAAGGCATTATTTTTACATTAGTTTCCTAGACTAATTTATTTATCTTTTTGAGATCTCAAAAGTCTCAATAAGGCAACTTCAAGATTGTTAATCCTTTTTATTTTTATTTTTTCATTACATGGATTATTTAATATCTCTTACCGAGTTCTTCTTTGGTTGATCATTTTTTAATCTTCTTTTGTATTTATACGTACTTATTAAAAATTTTATATATTAGACACTACATTTTTCGCTTATGGTCTTAAAAATCCTAGGAACGGCTCTGGGAGGGAACATCCTCGGAAGCAACGGCCGGACCTCACCTTTAGCGGTTAATCTTAAAAATTGTAAAAAGTAAACAATCAAATTTTAATTCATAAATGAATATTATTTCTTAAACTATTTGGATTAGTGGTTCATAGATTTTTTATTAGAGTTCTCATATATGTATATATATGTCCACACGTATAAGAGACTACTCCTAATTTTCAAGGCCCATAATTACTGCATTGGGCCCTTTACATCTTGCTAGAAGAGGCTAAGCCTTATAAGAGACACTCCTAATTTCCAATTGTTACCCTTCCGTTTTCTTCACCTAACACACAGTTTCTAGGGGTAAAGGTGTCAGATCCTATGCTGAAACGTGATCCCAGCATATCCGGTTCTTCTTTATCCTCTGTTGGAGGCAATATTTATGTACACACAGTTACCTCGTACACCTTCAGTAAAATGGACGGTTGAGATTCCCATTACAGTAACTAGCTAATATCTACCGTCAGATTCTCATTTAACAGATTAAGCATACAACGTCAGCTGAAGTGTTTAGATGTTACCATACACCATCTGTAGATAATCTCTTTGCCTTATCACATAATTTTTAAATGCTTTGCAGAATTTTTGTAGGTTGCTTATTTGCTTTTTTCTGTCATATTTTTTTCGTTAATTGTTTGTTGTTGTTATCTTCAACGATAGCGTTGGGCTCTGGAGAAGTGTTTTGATCGCAGAGAAGCTTCGTTCTTTGTAATCTATACAGGTTTGATCATTGAGTTTTACTCTCTTTTTGATCTTATTGCGATCCTGTACCTCGTTTAGATTGCTTAAAGGTTGGGTTTTTAAGTTGATCAATCGATTTAGGTTCGTCTATATATGGCTTTAGGGGGAGTTTCTATGTGTGAGACAAAAGGGTTTTCTAGATTTCGTGAACTTTCTTGTGATTTTAGATATTTGTCTCGGAAGAACGTGATCGACTGATAGATAGAAGAAATCTTGCGTTTAGTACTACTACCTAGATTTGATGCGTTTGTGGGAATTCTGATAATCTGAGTTCTAGAGTTTATGTTTGGGAATTGATGATTAGATTTGAGTGTTGAATTTGTTTTGATGGTTTACTGATTGGCGTCACCTATTTGTTATGTATGTGTAGGCGTGGAAGGTATGGCAAAAAGCTCGTTCAAGCAAGAGCATGACCTAGGTTTGGATCCTAACTTTGTTCTTGCTTTAATGTTTGGTCCTCAAAGTCAAAACCTTGCTTTGATCTAATGATCCCGTTTTCTAAATCTTCAGAGAAGAGAAGGGCGGAGGCTGCTCGGATTAGAGAGAAGTATCCTGATAGGATTCCGGTGAGAATTTCAGTGTCTCTCTTATACATCGATCGATCACACATTTCTAAAGCTATATGTGATTAGCATATCGTTTTGTTTCCATGTTTGGACCAATCTTTTATGTTTCACAATTAGAATTTCGGAGTTTATGCAGCTTAAGTTGTTTTGTTATATGGCCCAGAAAAATATAGTAGTTTACCCTTTTTGTGGCTCTTTCCTTTCACAATTGTTTATAATGATCTTATTAGGATAGCATCTGTTATTCTGGTTTTAAATGGACACCCAACTAAAAGATGGTTATCAAGTTATTATTGTCTGATTAGCTAGCTACATGCTTGTGATATATGTTTGCCACTGTATCAACTACATGGAGTTGTTTGAATTGTAGTGACTATAACAACATTATGACTTTGAATTTGATTGTTCTTTTTTGGAATGTGACTTTCTGTATCTCGATTCTTATTAAGTGCTTGCTTGGTCATACTTACGGCTTAGATAAGTAGATTTGCATGATTCATGTGGCTAAGTGATTGAGTGATGATTGCCACGCATTTATATTTTTGTGGGATCCAGGTGATTGTTGAGAAGGCTGAGAAGAGTGATATACCAACCATCGACAAGAAAAAGTGAGCAGATTAATGGGATCAGTATCCTTTTCATTTGGACCTGACTTGTGAATTGTGATTGATGACTAAGCTTTTTTCAAATTTGCAGATACCTAGTCCCGGCTGATCTGACTGTGGGGCAATTTGTGTATGTTATTCGCAAAAGAATCAAATTAAGTGCAGAAAAAGCTATCTTCATATTTGTGGACAACGTTCTTCCCCCAACAGGTAAACAGATAGATCACCTGTATATTCAAGAGTTTCATCTCTTAACACAAGTAACAAGAGCATAAAAAGGTGTCTACTTTCATGTTCCGGGTGATTACACATACAGTTTATATCTGGCTGATTTGATGTGGTAACTTTGCAGGTGCGCTCATGTCTTCCGTGTACGAAGAGAAAAAGGATGATGATGGGTTCCTCTATGTCACTTACAGCGGAGAAAACACATTTGGATTTGGATCTCCATAATACATCTCTTACTGGATATTTCATTTTACTCTCTATTTCAACGAATATTTCATCTTATTAAGCAAGCCACCTATGTAGACCTTTGGTTGGGCCTATGTACAGAAAACATAAAATAATGTATATAATCTTCTTTCAACGATCTAAAAATCTACTTTATGTGAATCCATCTATCACATCTCTTCCTCTTGACTTTGTTGTGTTTTATTGATGTCTCCAATCTATAAGCCGACATGACACGACGCTTAAGGCACATGGGCCATGACAGTTACAAATTACAAGGCCTATAAGTGTAGAGTAGTTATATGATCAAACTCAATAGAAGTGCGAGCACAAGGGGACTGTGCCACGTGGCAGACACGGTCGGTACCGGTTGAGAGTTGGCCGGCGATGATGTAAGAAAGGTCCCACATTGTCGTTGACGGAGAGAAGAAGGCGACGGTCGGACCATGCTGGCTTGTTCTCATTTTACACTTTTCAATATTGATTTTGTTTTGTTTCATCATATTTATTTTGTTCACAGTTTTGGCTCGATTTATGATCCTCAAAGATTCTCATTCAAAGTCCCAACCGGTCACGTGGAACTTGACTATCGAGGTGAAAGTTGAATGTAAAAGCTTGTGTGTTTTGTCCAAAGACATCAATGTCAAATAGTGTAATGATAAGAAGGTGATCGATTAGGACTTAAGAGAGTAAACACGTCGATCATACAATAATGGTGAGGGTGAAAAAGGGGGAAGAACCGGAGAATAAGTTGAGCAAATGGAAGAAAGGAAAATGAGAATGCAGGAGATGATGACCCCACGAAGACTCTCAAGTAGACAAAAGGTTTGGCCGATCAAGACACCCAATATACATACGATAGATATGTATTGTCTATAAATGCAAAATTGAATGGAATATATATTTGAATAATAGACAAGAGAGAAGATTCAAAAGAAAATAAAAAGAGAAGAGGAACAAGAGCATGTTATGATAATGAAGGACCCCTCCCCCCACCTGCATTCAATGCTTGTCTTACTCTCTTCTGCCTACAAATACTCTCCTTCCCTCTTCGCTTCTCTTACACCAATTAACAACATTTCAAACTATTTTTGTCTTGCTCTAGTCTCATCTCCCTGTATACAGACACAGCTCATATTACAAGTATCTTAAGAACAAGAAGAAGAAGAAAAGAAGTCATGTCTTGCTCTGGGAGGAGTGGACTCGTGATGGTGTTCTGTTTCATTCTTCTGCTTTTGTCTTCCAATGTTGGATGTGCCGCTGCCGCTCGTCGGTTAGGGTCTCATAAGCATCACCACAAGGTTGCTTCTTTGGACGTCGTCAATGGTGGAGAAAGGAGGCGAGTGTTGGGTGGGGTCGAGACAGGGGAAGAAGTAGTGGTCATGGATTATCCTCAGCCTCATCGTAAGCCTCCCATCCACAACGAGAAGTCTTAATTACCCGATCCATATATGCTCCTCTCTAAATATATCATACTGTTATATGCATATGCATTCACCATGTTGGTGGTTGTAATGACTCTTGTGCTATCTATATATATATTCATGACCAACTTCTTTGTTCTCTATTTCTCCTCGTATGCAACAAACAAGGTGCATACTTTTAGTTTACTCAATTTCTTATGGATGTGGCATAAACGATCTTTTCAACATTTGAGATTGTATCAGAATTGTGAAAATCCTTCATTAAGCTTGAATGAACTGTACAAGAAATCTTAAATACAGCCACTAAACCGAGTCTGAAGCTAAACCAATCTAGCACAACCGAGATATGTAGACTTAAATAGATCTCTTTACCGCCATTTTAGCTCCAAGTTGCTCGTAACAAAAGTATCATTACAAAGAATACCAATGTGTGTGAGAGGTAGAAACCCTCATTGAAGCTAAAATATTAAGCTAAGCCTAACATTTGATAACAGAGATAAAAATAGTGTTATGAATATTCCTGATTTCAGCTGCAAGGAACGATGAATGGTTTCACAAATGCAAGGAATTCAGATGTTCTAACACCGAGCTTCAGATCGATTTCTCCACCACCCAACCAGAAGAAGTCTGGTTTAAGTTTGGTTATGGCCTCATCCAATATCACCTGACATTTCCCCCCATCCAACTCGTCAGTATATTTCAATTTCAAAGCAAGGTTAGTCTGAATATGCCAGGGAAACTCTAAACATGAATGATTACAATACAAGCATTTTATTCATATCCCCACTAAAACAAACTTCCAACTCTATGAATACTTCCAAATAATAAGTCAATCTGCAAACATCCAATTGGGATCAAGGAATTCAGCATTAGAGCATAAACAACATAACTAATTACCCTAAAGGGGAAGCCCATTTACTTAATACTGAGGTCTAAAGATCATTTTGAAAGGCTCATGTGTCACAGTAGCACGAATAGTGTGTTGTCTGAAGTGGGCCACTTCCGGATAAGGAAAGGAAGATAAACACATCAATGCAGTAGGGTACGTGCCTAAGATCATATATACACAGACCAAAAAGAAGGCCATTTAAGTCTCTCTGCCTGACACCAATTACTAACTCTGGCACTGGTAGTGCAAAGAAGGTATTGAACTGTAAAAAGCGGAGGTTCTAAATTTTTACTGTCAATGGGGGAAGTACTAAAGACAATGAGTGGGACAATCAGCAGCTGGCTCATAAGAAAACTCTAACTTCTGCTCTGTATCAATGCAAATTGTGTTATAATGCACCACACCCTCCTGTACAGACTAAGAGAAACAAACTAGACAAAACCTAGCTGTGTAACTCATTAGGCACTGGAGCCTTCCGGGCCTCCAGGACAGGACAATAAACTATAGTGTCTGCAAAACGCTTGGCAAGAACATGTGTATGAAAGGGAAAAACTCTCTGTAAAAATTTCTAAACACAAAATACAGCACGAAACTGTTTGTCTAGGAGAAGAAAACACAAGTAGGTAGAGGTTCCTCTCATACTACTCCTATGTCTAATATGTAATTAATAGTGTAGAGCATCAATGAGCAAGCACCAAGAGATGATACCCAGAACATAACAATAATGCATGATGTAGAATATTTTGGTCAGCTTCAATCAAACAAAGATGTTATAATTCTATCACGGAAATAACGGTGTGGAAACAAAACTTACCGGTATGTTTGTCTTCATACCAATACAGGTTACGGCATTGTGCTCAAACCCTGTCAATTTAATCGACGTCTCCTCAGGAGCAAGTCTCACTACACAGAGATTAGCACAATCCTCAGCATAAAGAAGCAACATATAAACTTCAATATGATCATAGATCACAGAAATAAGAAGCACTAACAGTTAAATCTTTTCTTTGGGATCTTGCCCTCGTTTAGTGAATAAAGAAACTGCTTCACTGCTTCAGCATTGAATCTAGCAGTATACTACCATAAGAAAAATAGTCAGATGAATACGATTAAAGAAAGGTGAAAATGCTATTCTACATGAACCATCAAGAGCACCTGAACCACAACCACATAGTATTTTGAGTTGTTGCGATCACTGCAATCCAAAATATTTGATGAAGCTTGAGTATTAACCTGTAATATGGTCAACATTGAGTGAGGAAACAAATACTAGCAGAGAGAATACTAACTTAAAACTCTTCAATGTGTAGTTTCACATGCCAACTACAACTCAAGTAAGACTAAGATTTCAATATTGTTCCATGACCTCTAATTCATACGAAAATTCTACACTTAATGTACCAGAACAATGCTCTTGCAGAGATGGTCGACTGAGGAAGCGCCGAGAACGTTGCGGCGTGATTCGAGAGGCCAGTCGTAGTAATCGGGAGCAACTCTCTTGAAGCAGAAATCGTTAACGCCGCCGGACCGGAGAATGGTGGAGAGGCGAGTCACAGTTTCGTTTTCATCAACTGGTAGAGAAGACGACGGAGGCGCCGAGGAATTCTGTGGGAGAAAAGAGCTCTCGAGGACGGAGATTCTATGGAGGATTTCAATTTGGAGTCTCTCGAGCTCCGCCGCTGCAGCCTCCATTGCTTCTCCGTCTTCGATTTCGAATTTCCGATCGCCGCCGCAGCAAGTTTTGTTTCGTTTCGTACGTTCGATTCTGTAATCTCTGTGATCGTGTCTACGGTAAACCAAAAAAGGAGCTGGTTGATCTGACCCGTTGATTTATTATCCTACGTCGTTTGATCAGTTAAAACTCCGAGCCGGAACTTTTTTTGCTGACGTCGTAGAAAGTCATTACTTATTTGCTGACGAGAATCCGCGTTGGCCCAAATAAACAAATTTGGCCCATTTAGTGCTATGCCACAAAGGCACAAACTATGGTTGTTGGATGAGTAATCTCTACTATTCTGGTTTATGGTTTGATTTCAATTCGTCCATTTGTTTTTTTAGAAACTGAAAAAACTATATACTCCCTTTGTTCCCATGATGTTTTAAGATTTGCACATAGATTAAGAAACAAAAATTCTGTATTATTTAATTAAAGCTAGGATCGGACTCGCGGTCCACCGCGGGAGAATATTGGTTTACATACGTTGCGTTTAATATTGTGTGTGTTTTTTAGTAGAACGAATCGTGTAGTATACTTATAAATATTCACAATAACGAATTGTAGAGAAAATGTAAAATTGTTTATAAATATACCCATCGCATTAATTATGATTTACAAAATAGAATTTTGTGTTTTAAAATTATAAAATTGGACGATTCATGGAAATTAAAGCAGTCAAAATAGGTCAAAAACCGCGGGTCGAGCCCACATCATCTCACTATGGGGCAGATTTGGGAAAATATATTAAACCCGCAAATAAGCGGGCCACATGGATTAATTCGAAGTGGATCATAGGTTTAATCGGTTTTCATCCACGGGTTGGCGGATCAGCCCGCATATTAGTATTTATTGATAAAATTATAATTTATTCAACATGTGGTAATTTAAACAAACTTTTAATAGTATTTTTATTTATTTATTTATTTTAGTAGTATTTTAAATTTTGGTTACTTTAAAATTATTTAAACAAAATCCATGGACAATCCCGCAAATCCGCATACATTCGCGGGATGGTTTGTATTTCATATATCTTTCAATTAATGATAATTGGCTAAAATGAGCGAAATTAATGACAAAAACGTTGATTGTTATAGAATTAGTCCCAAAAACATATGAACAAATTTATTATACGTAATTAATGTATAATATTGTTCGGAATATGCTTTTATTTTTAGTTATCATAAGTATAATCAGATTTTATTTGATTTCCATAAATATTTGATCTTATTTCGATTTTTCATTATTATTCGAATATATATTCCAAAAAAATTTCAAAGATCCGATTTCAGAAATTGGGTCAATTTTCTGATTTTAATAGTATAGAGATATCTCATTATTTAAATGTAAGGTAACAGGTGTTACTAACACATGCAACAAACGTGGGAGTTACACATGCAACAAGTTATCACTCTAATCGTTTCACATTCCTTCATCACCCTCTTATTCTATTTTAATTTTCCGCTTTCGAAAATTTGTTTACTCAAAAATGATTGAAATTTTTAAACTTGGAGCCACAATTATGTTACTCAAAAACAGAAAAATTTAGATTGAAGCCAAAACCAATAACTATATTCCACTAACCTTCTATATATATCAACGTAGGCTTACACCATTTAGTCAAATTCAACAATGGCTTCTCATAGCTTTAATCTAAATTAACCGCTTCAAAACAGTGAACAAGAATATTTGTTTGATTTGAACAAAAGTCCAACAAAAGAGACTTCACAAGAGAATTGTTTGGACGTTCCACTCAACCAAGAGCAAGAAGATTTTTCTTACATAAATTCAGGTATTTTTACCATTAAACAGTATTTTCGCTATTTTGTTATATTGATTCACTAGTATTTTCAAATTATTTGTTAGACACTGCATATATATCTAATTTTTTTAAAACATAATGTAGAAATTTAATCCATAACTAATGCCTTATTTATTTATCATGAGTTTATGAGTTCACGGAGAATTAAAAATGAATCATGTGATTTAGTTTGTTTTTAGTTAAGTTTTTATATGGAGATTTATCTTTAAAAGCCTTTTAAGTCTAAACCGTACTTTCTTTCTCCAAGCGATTTCCAGAATCCTCGAGATACGTCTTCACCGCCTCAAATTTTCCGGTGATTACCTTTCCGATATCGTCGGATTTGTTTTCCGTTTTAACGGATCTGCAGCATACCTCCATGGCTGACAAAGAATTGTGGTATTCTCTCCAAAATCTCAATCTTGGGTTAGAGCGTAGTCCCTTACAGATTTCAAGTGATGCTAAAAGCAAACGAGATGCGGAGCACCGTCTTAGCTTGATTGTCAAAGGGCTGCATCCATCTCAGAATCCAGCTGGGATTAAGGTAATGATGCCGAAGCTATGGAAGCTGGAAGGAAGAGTTAATAGTCGCATCAACAAAGATGGATCAGTGCAATTCTTCTTCAAACATGAGCATCAGCTCCTTACTGTTTTGGATAATGGCCCGTGGACGTATAAGGACTGGTTGGTTGTGGTTGATCGCTGGATTCGAAGGCAACTTCCTGATTTTCTTAGAATAATCCGGTTTTGGGTCAAAATCCTGAACCTCCCTGATGATTCCAAAAATGAAAACTTGATTCGTGAAATTGGTGGGGTTTTAGGACATGTTGAAGAAGTTCGCATTCAGGAACCAACTGCAGAGCAAAGTGGTCAGATCTGGGTTCGTGTTCCTATTGATATAGAAGAAAGGTTGACTTTTGCTAGGTACTTCAATCGATGACTATAGGAGACCAGTCCTTATCCGCTATGTTTATGATAAGCTTCGCAGGTTCTGATCTGCTTGCGGCAGTCTCTCCCATCTCTCTACAGTTTGTACTCGTCACGCTCCAGAAACAGAGCAGCTTCAGTTGCCGGCTCCGGTTCTTGCCTCCACTCAAAGAGCCAATGACAGTAATGCACATCCGTTGGTTGCTCGATCCTCCACACCTGCTGAAGGGGCTGATGATACAATGGGAGAGACTGTAGGTTCCAACCTGAACATGGAAATTTCTGAAAATCAAGAACAGAATGAGTCCCGCAGGGAAGATATGGACTTTATACCTCCAGGGGATATCCAAGATAGGGTCAATGAAACTTTTGCTGTTCATGAAATAGGTTCAGCTTCAGCATCATGACGGATTCGGGGAACTAAGCGGAGGATTTCTGCTCTATCTGATCTAGAGGAAACTTCGACTTCTCATAAAAGGACACAGGCCAATCCTTCAACACCAATCCAAGGGGAGGTGGAAACCCCGAAGCCACCATCACCAGAATGAGAATCCTGCATTGGAATTGTCAAGGGCTGAGGAACCCCTTGACAATCCCTTACCTTAAGGATATCAATCGTAAGTTTAAGATTGATATCATGTTCCTCGTAGAAACTAAGAATAAGGATAATTATGTACAAAATCTAGGTGTTGATCTCCATTTTGACCATCAAATTTTGGTATCCCCTGATGGTTTAAGTGGCGGCTTAGCTATCTTTTGGAGGAATATTGTAGCTTGTGAACTGCTTTCTGATCCTACTCTTAACTACACTGATATGTATATTATTGAAGGGCCAACTACTTTTTGTCTTACCTATGTATATGGTAATCCAGAGAGAAAGCCAAGGCAATATATGTGGCAGATGATGGAGAATTTAGTCAAAGGAGGACTATATCAGAGAAAACCAAGACTGGTCCTTGGTGATTTTAATGAAATCAAAAATAATCAGGAAAAGCTTGGAGGACCACCTAGGCATGAATGGCTGTTCCTTAATTTTCGAAGGATGTTAAATGTGTCTGGTCTTCATGAAGTTAAAACTTTTGGTGGGGTTTATACCTGGATTGGCAATCGCAGTGCTGGTACCATTCAATCTAAGCTAGATCGAGTAGTAGCTACTGCAGAATGGAAGGATAAGTACCCTAAAGCCATGGTTCAGCTGTTGGACTGGATTGGTTCAGATCATAAGCCGTTAATACTCCATACTGAAGATAATAAATGGAAGGGCAAGAAATTGTTCAGATATGATAACAGGTGGAGGACTAATAGAGATGTTCATGCAGTCCTGCAGAATACATGGGAACAGAAATGCAATATGCTGCCTCCACATCAATTCCATGAAGCTCTCAAGCGATGCAGACATAGCCTCTCTACTTGGAAATCAGAACAAAATTTCAACTCTCACAAGAAGATCCAGCAACTCCACATGGATATACAGCAAGTGTATAATTCCTTTTCTCCTGATTTTTCTTACATAACTCATTTAAAGAAGCAATTACATCAGGAATATAGATTAGAGGAGGAATTTTGGAGAACAAAAAGTAGAGTCTTGTGGATGAATGCAGGGGACAAGAACACCAAATATTTTCATGCTAAGACGAAACAGAGGAGGAGTCATAACCGTATTACTGCTCTTGAAGATGAAAATGGCAATATTAAGCAGTCTGACAACGATATTCAAGCCATTATTCATTCTTATTTCACTAACTTATACTCTTCTTCTGGCAGTGCAAATTTGGATATGGTGCTCCAACACATTCAGCCCAAAGTAAATGTAGCCATGAATCAGAAGCTTACTGAGCCAGTTCAGGAGGAAGAAATCCTTCAAGCCCTCTCTCAGATGCATGTTGATAAAACTCCTGGTCCTGATGGCTTCATGGCAGGATTCTACAAATATCATTGGCCAACTCTCAAAACAGGTGTGATGAAGTATATTCAACTCTTTTTTCAGAATGGCTATTTACACCCTGAGATGAATCATACCTATATCTGCCTAGTTCCTAAAGTTGATTCCCCGACTCAAATGAAAGATTTTAGGCCCATCAGTTTATGCAACATTGCATACAAGTTAATTTTAAAAATTTTGGCAGATAGACTTAAACCATGGCTACACTGTCTCATTTCAGACTTCCAATCTGCATTTATTCCAGGGCGCCTTATTACTGATAATATCATTATTACTCATGAACTTTTGCATTCATTACGTACAAAGAAAATTAAAACTCCTTTTATGGCCTTGAAGCTTGATATAGCAAAGGCATTTGATAAGGTTGAATGGACCTATCTTGATCAAATATTGAGGCGTCTTGGCTTTGCAGAACAATGGTGTACTTGGGTGATGAAGTGTGTTACCTCAGTGACATATTCTGTTCTCCTTAATGGATCACCAACCAAGAAGATTATTCCATCCCGGGGGCTACGCCAAGGTGATCATATTTCTCCATACCTTTATTTACTAGTGTACTGAAGGGTTATCCTCCTCTCTTAATCATGCGATGAAAGCAGATCTTATCCATGGCTTTTAGGCTAGCTGCAATGGTCCTCCCATTTCTCATATGCTTTTTGCTGACGATTCCCTCCTTTTTTGTCAAGCAAATGCAGAGGAATGCCAACAGATTCTTGCAGTGCTTGATGCATATGCCCATGTTTCAGGTCAATATGTTAATTTTCAAAAGTCAGCTATTCTCTTTGGCAAAAATGTCCCTGCTGACGTTCAACAGAGTATTATTAATATGCTGGGTATTACAAAAACAGGAGGCTTTGGTAAATACTTGGGATTACCTGAAACTGTTGGGCAAAATAAAAGTGATGCATTTGGCTTTATCTCTCAAAGGGTGCAGCAAAAACTTCAAAGTTGGTATTCTAATTTTCTGTCATTGGCTGGAAAAGAAGTCTTAATTAAATCTATAGCCACTGCTCTACCCACATATGCTATGTCCTGCTTTATGCTTCCTAAACGTTTGCTCTCTCAAATAACAGGACAAATCAGAAGGTTTTGGTGGTCTACTCTGAAAGATAAACAGAAGATACCCTGGGTTGCATGGAGGAAAATGACCACTTTAAAACAGTATAGAGGGATGGGCTTCAGAGATCTCAATCTTTTTAATATTGCTTTATTAGCTAAACAGGGATGGAGGATTTTAAAAGAACCACAACTGCTGCTTTCCCAAGTTCTCAGAGCTAAATACTTCTCTAAATCCTCTTTGATGGAGGCAAAACCTGGATATCGTCCAAGTCATGCATGGAGAAGCATCTTACAAGGTATGCAGCTTATTAAACAAGGTTTACGATGGAGTGTTGCTGATGGTAATACGATCAAAGCTTGGCATGATCCATGGCTAAGTAACCCTCCCAGACCAGCCCGTTGTATTGGATCTCCTTTAAATGATTCTTTACCAGTTTCAGGCCTTATGAAGCCCACTTTAAATGATTGGGATGATACGAAGCTTCAAGAATAAGTTCATCCAGAAGATATTCCCCTTATCAAGAAGATGCGTTTAAGACTTGTCAAGGCTCCTGATGTACCGACTTGGATCTTCACAAAAGATGGGCAATATACGGTCAAATCTGGTTACCATCAACTATTTAAGCCAAATGCAGAGTCGTCCCCAGACAATTCCCACATCAATGCTTTATGGAAACATATTTGGGCCTTCAATATTCCCCCAAAAATAAAGCATTTCTGGTGGAGAGTGCTTCAAAATGCTCTTCATTAGCTGACAATCTAGCCAGAAGAAGGATCAGGACCTTATCAGATTGTATCTTCTGTGGTGAAGCCAATGAATCTATCATCCATCTTCTTTTCCACTGCCGTCTTGCAAAGGAAGTCAGGGAACTATCACCACTTCAAATGGAGACAGGTCAGTTAGCTGGACAAAATTCACTTCATGATATTCTGCTTTCTCTCTTAGCCACCCAGAATCTCTCCAAAGATCATCTTTTTCCATTTATTGGTTGGAGACTTTGGAAAGCTAGAAATGACCTGCTCTTTAATAACAAAAGATGGGCCATCCCAGAAATTATTCAGCATGCCTTGATGGATTACCAATTATGGAAAGACTCTCAAGACGTTCCTAATACTTATCTGCAACGCTACAATGCTCCTAAGCAAGTTCCAGAAACTACTCTAGCATAAGTAATGCATCACACTTCATCTTTTGTATGTTGTGCAGATGCTTCTTGGACTGATCCTAATTCAAGGGCAGGTATTGGCTGGATTCTCCTTACCCCGCAAGGCAAAACAGTTCTTAAGGGTTTCTCTTCTATAGACCCTGTTAATTCTGCTTTGGAGGCGGAGGCCATCGCGCTTAAAGAATCTCTTTTCCATCTAAAACGTCTAAGTTACAAAGATGTTATCTTTTGTGGTGATTCGCTAACCCTGTACATCTTCATGGAAAAAGAAAATCAACAGCTTAATCACTTGTCCGGATGCCTGGAAATCCAGTCGCACTTGGATGATATCAAGGCGCTTTCTCTCAGCTCTTATGCATTTAGGTTTATTCGTAGAAGTGATAACAATGTAGCTGACTTTCTAGCTAAACATGCTAGATGTCACAATTCCCCTTTTACTATTTCGTGGAATGTTTAAACTGGTATTGTAATGCTTGTACTCGTTATCTTAATAGAAAGTTGGCCGACGAAAAAAAAAGTTAAGTTTTTATATGGTATATAAAATTACCCAGTTTTTTTTATGCATTGACTTGTATGACATGGAAAGTTCTTGGTGTTTCTTATTGTTTGTGGAGTTCACTAGATCTTCGTGTACACAACAATTTTTATTTTATTAATAACATTTTATTTTTTAAAATATTTTTGATAGGAGCTGGAAGTGTTGAGATATCACAAAGTCTTCAAGAAACTAGTTATCACAATAAAAAAAAATGACAGATGGAGAAAGACTAAAGGTTTATCTTGCTCTACAAGAAAGAAGCAACAATGGTAAATTGAAGAAGATTCATACAACGGAAGTTGCTAATTTATTCTCCGTACCGTTACAAACGGTACAAAGAATTTGGAAGCGGGCTAAGAATACTCCTAATGGTGAAGTTGTTGATGTATCCCATAAGAGAAAGGGTAGATGTGGTGGGAAGAAAATTCAAATTGATCTTGACCGAATTGTTGATGTTCAATGAGAGCAATCAATGAGTATAAATGAGAATGGAAAGCTTTTTTCAGTGAGAGTAATTAATGATTGGTTCCTAAATGATAATGGAAAGTTTCACACGTTTCATTTTCTTGTCCAAAAGCACACTTCACTCCACCTTTTATCATTAATTAATTTAAATAAAACAAATATATTATAGAAGAATTGTGTTATCTCCTCTATACAAACTCATGATCCATACAATTCCAGCATTTTGCAAATAACTTTGTCGATCATAATCTTGTTTTCAGCCAAACCCCAAGTAGACTCATAATCTTTACTTTACACCAACTCAATCTTCTTATCAAGAGACGTACGAAATATTCTTTAGAATTCTTCAAGCACAAAAAAATTAGAAGTCACAAAACAAACAAAAATATATATATGCATTTAGTGTTAAGGATATATTTTTATAAAAATTTATTTATCTACAGATTTTTCCTTTATAATTATTTTTTCGATTTGGTTTGGATACACATAAACGATTTCAATTTAGTTTCATTTTGTTTTTTGGAAATTTTTAAACTAATGAAAGTAAATAGGTTATACAATAAAAAATCTATAAACAATAATATCTAGATTACAATATTTTATTAAATTTTAAAAGTATCATTTTATAAAAATAATAATTTATTTGAAAAATTAGTTTACAACTAGGAAAATTTACTAATTTATCGAATATTAATTTATATAAAATTGACTAATATTAAATTAGTATAATATCTGGATTTTTTTTCCACTATAATTTTTGATCTGGAATTTAACAAGGCAATAAAAACCAGGGGCCATAAAAACCAGGTTTTGAACATAGTTCTTGACAAGAAAAGCGACGTGGTATTATATCAATATATACTACTCCTTCCGTTTCAGTTTGGTTGTCGTTTTAAGATTTAAATTTTGTTCTATAATAGTTTTCGTTTTAGGTTTTCAATGCAAATGTTTGGTGAAAATTCCAATTTTATCCCTACTGTTTTAATGTTCTGGCCAATAAAATATTTTATAAAATATATTAATAAAGGGTAAAATAAAAAATTAAATATTTTTCTTAATTTATGTGAAAAAATCTTAAACGATAACTAAAACGAAACGGAGGGAGTAGTTGCCGACGCGAGTTTACGTTGCCCCAAATCAACATATACGGGCCCATTTAGCGGTCTGCCAGTAATAAAAAACTCCACTACGAGTACACGTGACGGGACAGCCCTCGTTGACTCTTAAACATGTTTAATATCTTACGCCATGTGGACTTATCCAGTTGTCAAATCTGACGGTGTAAAAAGACAATTCACTCGTCACCGCGTAACACTATTGAGATCTCCGTAAATTTCTGGAACTATATGCCCACATTCCAAGGCAAAACCAAATCTACAAGTCTTGTCTATATAAACACCAAACCATTAAAGACCCAACAATTAAAAAGGTTAAGGAAAAACAAAAATGATGATGAAGTCGTTGATCTTTCTCTCTCTCATCCTCCTCCCACTTGTCTCCGTCGTGGAAGGTCTCGGTGGTGGTGGTCTCGGTACTAGGAAGCCGATCAAGAATGTATCGGATCCGGACGTTGTTGCGGTCGCCAAGTATGCCATCGATGAGCATAACAAACAATCGAAGGAGCATTTGGTTTTCGTCAAGGTTGTCGAGGGAACGACACAAGTGGTCTCCGGTACAAAGTACGATCTGAAAATCGCGGCGAAGGATGGTAGTGGTAAGATCAAGAACTATGAGGCTGTTGTTGTTGAAAAGCTTTGGCTTCATTCTAAGACCCTTGAGTCCTTCAAGGCGGCATAGATCTTTGGATTTTTTTTAGATCGATCTCTCTCTGACTCTCTCGGGTATATCTATATCTAGCTTTTGATGATTTGAGATTTTGAGACATTTATGTTGTTGTTGGTAATATTTGTGGAATAAGAAAATAAATTAGAGATATGTTTTTTTGAGATCTGTTACTTTGATCTCTGCATTTGGGTTTTGGATCGATCGACAAGATAAGATACAGTTGCGCAGACGCAGACGACACGTGCGTCGACCGTGAGTTTTGATATGATCTGGTTTTTTTCTGTCGTGACTCGGTAATGTAGACATTAGATGATGATGATGTGCATATTTATGAGTAATAATAACTGGGAAAACTTCCACGTTCTAAACGTAGCCAGTAATTTTTTTTTTTTTTTTTTTTTTATAACCGTGAGATTTCAAAGGCTTCCTAGGTCCAAAGACTAATCTACGAGACCTTGCATACGGATACGTTTTATCCTATCGTTAAGGGAGCGGCTAGGTGGCCAACCCGAATCGAACCCAGGAGGGGGAACTCACAGCCGTGAGCCTTTTACCAAGATCACATTCTTTGTTTTAGGGTTTCGGTCATCAAAACAAAAAAAAATTGGATTCCTTGTTCATGGAGATTCGCATTGCATATTTGCATGTAAAAAAGGAAAAAAATTCTATAGATAGGGAATGAAATACTTAATGTTTTAGCCAGTAATTAAAAGACAAGATCACATTCTTTGTTTTAGGGTTTCGGTCATCAAAACAAAAAAAAAATTGGATTCCTTGTTCATGGAGATTCGCATTGCATATTTGCATGTAAAAAAAGAAAAAAATTCTATAGATAGGGAATGAAATACTTAATGTTAAACATGGAAGTATATCATGATCCCGTTTGACATAAGAGTTATATCATGATTTTCTACCTTTTTTTTAATGTTCTCCGCTCATTCATTATTGGCTGTGAAGAACTATCGCCAAATCATCTTTTTTTTTTTTCCGTCTAAATCGCCAAATCATATCAAGCACCATTTTAAAAGGTAGGCTAAAGAATCACTTTGTAATATTATTGAAGAATTTACAGATGTAAAATCGAGAAGTCTCAAAGATTTTGTCTTTGGTCACCGCTGCTCTTAAGCTTTCAAGAAAATCCGGTCACACTCACACAATGTTAACCCTATTAAAATTGAAATTGCTTCCCACATCGACATGTTAATATTGCGTTGTTGGTAAGACGAGAATATTAGGGTCTTGTTCACATTCTATTATTATGCGTAGTAATGTAGAAGCAAAGATATGAGAGCCGTATAGATGTAAGAGTTGTTATTTGTTAATACTAAATAGATGTAAGAGTTGTTCTTGTTGGAAGCCCACTGGACCAAATTAGGCTTTAAATTGAAAGAGCATTATTATTCCCTACCAAATGAGGTTTCTTTTTTGGATGCGATTTTTTGTTTTGGGGGCGAAAATCCAAATTATATATATTTTTAGTTTTTTATTGAACTTTTAAATGTAAAATTAAGAAAACTATTCATAAAATTTGCAGAAAAAAGACGAATATGTAGTTTCGAAAAAATCTGCTTAAGACTCTATTTTTGTTTTTTTTTGTTGAAAACTTGAAATGTTAAGTTTTACTAGTAAACAAAAACAAATGATGACTTGTCTTCTTCACATCTAAAGCTTACTTTGTCCTTTTCAAAAACAAGAAGTTAAAAACAAAAATAGACGGGGTTTATTTGAAGTGAAAGGGTGATGATATATGGAAAAAACGAATAGTGTATGGACCCTTTCATTATTGCAATATTTAATTTGCATTCACTTTATTTGGTCAATCTTTCGTTGCCCTCCCATCTCCACTTTCCTTTACTTTTTTTCAATTATACTTTAAAGTTCTTTTCTATTTTTCTAAACCCACTTAACGACTTAACGTTCTATTCTATTTCATAATATTCTGCATATGTTTAGGACACACGTGTGAATTTCTACTTCACTCGTAGATAAGTGAAAAAACGAAAAAGTAAATATGATTACATTTGAATTCGAAAACACTTTTGTACATCTCTCGCATTCAAATTAATCATGAATATTCCTTAATCCTTACACCGGCACAATCTTTTTTGGGCTGTCCGAACGAAGACACGCATGTAGTTTTAATCAAACTTTGTAATTATTATGCATTCAAAATGAGATTGGATCCACTTACTTCCTCCATTTCAATACTTTTTTTGGCGGCATGTTTACTCATTAGTCATTAGTGATTGAGTGGTGATGATGACCTTTGTGTGGCACCATATTGGGTTGTATTAATGTTGAATTTTACAACCAATATTGGGATTAGTAATCTGAACAATAACAAGATGTATATTAAAATCTAATTCAACGAAATGGTCAAAAACATTATTTACACGTGTGGGTAATAAGGTGATGACCACAGAGAGTTGACTAATTAACAATTAAACTTTTATCAACCATTTCTTTTTTTTAATGTTAAGCATGACATCTAGAAATGTACTCCCATTCTTTCCCCATTCTTTCTAATAAGTTGAGATGTCCTTTTATTTCTTCTTCGTCACCATTACGTACAAATCTAAACATTTATCCAAAACTATACAAAAACATAATTGTTCCATGTATAATTGGACATTAAGACATGTTAGGATCACTTCTTATCGTAACCGATACTTGGAATGGTGATGGCCCGCCAAATGTTCTTCTCATTGACCACCGAAAATTCCATTATATCTTATTTACTAGATTTTAACCCGCGGTACACCGCGGGATGAT